CCTTCCGTCCCTTATTCTAAAAAAAATTATTTATTTATTTATATGATATTTACAACTTTATACAAAAAAATACATCTGGTAAATTCGCACATGGATATAATGACATGAAACGCATGTTGAGAAACTACCCATTGGTAGCACTCTAATAATATGTCTATATTAGAAGATCACGTGGCCATCTTCTTTTCAGACGCCTCGGAGGGTTATCAGGAATCGAATAGGAAGCAAGGTTAGAGACAAGAGGGTTATGAAGTTTATTATGGAAGGACAGATATCTGGATTGGGCCAAATCTGATACATAAGGAATATTAAGGTCATTATGGATAATTTTATTTGTAACAAAGTAAGGAGCATTGAGGATTTTACGAAGGATTTTGGATTGTAAGGATTTGATGCGAGAGGAATTTGAAGGTTTGGTGGAGCCCCATAGCTCAACTCCGTAAGTCCAAATAGGCCTTATTATAGTCATGTAAATGAGTCTTTTATAATTAATCGGAAAGTTAGAGCGTTTGTCTAGTAAGTGTTGAAGTAGTCGGAAACGTCGATCTGTTTCTTGTCGTTTGAGTCTGGTATGAGGATTCCAAGTTAGACGTTTGTCCAGATGGAGTCCCAGGTAGCGGATTTGTTCAACAGGAATAAGTGAGGTGTTATTAAAGGATACTGGACAGGAAGTCATTGGTTTACGACGAAGGGTGAAGGTAATTTGATGGGATTTATTGGAATTTATTTTAATTGTCCAGTTCTGACACCATTCTTCAAGGTTTATGATGTGGGATTGAAGGGTTTGGGATGCAATAGATGGGTCGTTATTAACTGAAAGGATACATGTGTCATCAGCATATGTGGTGATGACAGTGTTGGGATATCAGCTGTATAAACTGTGTAAAGGATAGGACCTAGGATACTATCTTGAGGAACACCTGCAGACTGGGAAAAGCAGGATGTATAGACATTGTTGTGATTTACTTTAAAGTATCTATCAGTAAGGTAAGAACGGATAATGAGGAAGTATGTAGAGGGTAGGAATTTTCGGAGTTTGTACTGCAGTCCCGGGTGCCAAACTCTATCAAACGCCTGTTCAACGTCGATAAAGACTCCCGTACAGTACATACCGCGCTCCAATGCCGAGGATATTACGTCTACCATACGATGGCATTGCTGTATAGTGGAATGGGAGGAGCGGAATCTACATTGGTGATCTGGGATTATGTGATTAGAATTTAGGATAGCTACTGGCGTTTTAAGATTAGTTTTCCAGGATTTTTCCCATGATGGGTAACAGAGAGATGGGACGGTAAGAGGATGGATATTCTGGTGGCTCTAAAAAAAATTTAATCCTGAAAATGCATAACCCCGTTAAAATGTGGCCCCCTCAAAAATTAAAAAAAAACCGTCAAAATATGCCCTCCTCAACAATTTAGATGGCGCAACTTGCGCCATTAAATTCCCTTCTGGGCACCTCTGCTAGCAACCAAAATGTCATATTTATCAAAAGGACTAGAATAAAATAAAAATCAAATGTGGATACCAAAAAATATAATTGAAACAGTTGAAAAATTTTCTTAAGTGCCTTATCTGACATTTTTTTGTATTAAGATAGGACAAGCCTCGGAAAATTTTAATGCACCTGTCTCATCGGCGGAATAAATTACGTCGTCACTCGGCGCCTTCTCATTGCCTTCTAACAAATACTTATTTTATTTTTTCTCGAGGGATTAATAATATTATAATTTATGCTCTACAATTTAACACTACCGAATAATATTACGTTATTTCTTAGTGGCAAATACGGAAAACGTTTAAAACACTATAATGTATTACTAAAACTAAATTTCAATTCGATGCTTTTGTCTCAATAATTTTTTTATAATCATATCCAACGTTTCAGCCTATAATCCATTATTAGGTAGAACCTTATTATAATAATAAATCATTACAGACTCATTTACATAAGTCTTTTTTGCCATTTACAATATATTAAATAAAGATTTCTCATACAGAGGTAGAACGGTTGAGTAAGGAAGCATTAAATCGGAGGTAGGACGGGATCTTAAGGACGATTGGTTGTCGAAAAGCATTATCGAGTTGTAGATGGATATGAGAAACTCTAACTCTATTAGTAAGAATACTTTCCAGTGTTACTGAAATTCATATATTAATTTTATTGATGTCAGTTCTTGTTATAAAAATAATTGCTGTTGGTAATTAGAACAACTTAAGTAATTATAATGTGTAATTAAAATGAAAATCCTCCTATTTATCGGAACATAGTTTTAATCCAGGAGTGTTACCATCCATGAGCTTATCGAAAATTTTCAATATCTTCCTTCTACAAATGGAAAAATATCATTTCAATTTCTACCAGTTGCTACTAGCAAGATTCTGTCCTTGGTACATTTCGTGTTTTAATTTTTCTCAGATGAAAGTAACGTTCTCCATATTCCACTTAAAAAGGATTCGGTGAAAGTTAAATACATTTTTAAAAATAAAATTTTAGGATATATACCTAGAAGCATATAGATAAAATTACAACAAAAAAAATAATTATTTTTATTTTATTTTATAAAACAAGGAACTTGGTTCTGTAGGTAGGAACTGAGTTTATCTTAAATCCCTCACCCACGGGCGGATCTACGGCGGGGGGGAGGCTTTCGGGCTGAAGCCTCTCCCCTCAAAATGGTAAAATGTAACCATGTTTTATGGAAAAAAATATTAAAAAATTATCTCTTAAAGTATTATTGTTCATGTAATCACATTTGAAAGGTCTTTAGGAATAATTTAAACACCATTTCATGCAGGTAGTTAGTTTATTTCTCTTTTTTCAAAGTAATTATCGTTATTTTTATGAAAAAAAAAAGTTCCCCCCCAAAAATTAAATCCTGGAGCCGCTGTTGCCCTCACCTTATCACTTTACCCCACTGATCCAGGATTTAATTAGGGGGGTGGCTTCAGGCCGAAAGATTTTTTTTTTGTATAAATATATTAGGATAATTACTTACGAAGAAAGAAAGAAACCAACTAGTTATACGAAATGGTCTTAAGTGATTCTTTAAGTCCTATTAGCATTTTTTTTTTTTAAGATAACCCCCTACCCACCATTTCTGGCATACGGTGGAGGGAGGGGGAGTTGTTCTAGCGGTACAACCAAATCTATTCTAACCAGAGTGGGAGGGTCGAGTTTTTCATTCCGTGGGGCCGTCACGATATAGAAGTCAACCACTCCCAGGCCGGAATCGAATTGGCGTCGCTAGGCACGAGGTTGCTAGACCGGGTAACGCTCCAACCTCGACCTCTTAAGTCCTATTAACAGTAATTAGACGAACAATAATACTTTTAGAGATATTTTTTTTTCATAAAACATTGTTTTATATTACCATTTTCGCGGGGGCTTCAGCCCCGTCCTCCGTCGTAGATTCGCTCGGGAAAAGAAACAGAGAAAATGTGTCACGTGGAATTCAGTAGAGGCGGTAAAATAGCTCGAATCATTGTCTTGTTCTTTCGGCAATCTTCATCATATTAAAAAATGCTATTTCTTAGAAATTATCGTTTAGGACCGAGAAAAAATAAATAATTAAGGTAAATGTTTGGTTTTGAATAGATAATGCATTTATTGTTAAATTACTTGAATAGTTTGAAGTTACTTTTTCAGAAGCGTTAGCATTTAACAGATATGATTATATTCAGGACCGTTCGCTTGAGCGCCCGGAGCGAAATTATAGCAGGCAACCCTCAAACCCTACATCTCTCGAAGGCGGCCGTAGTATAATGACTCATGTTTACGAGTTATATTTATTGTACTTAATTTTACTTTTGCACTTACGTTCATGACCGATAAATCTCTAGCCAGCTTGTAATTTATCAAACAAGAGCGAGTGGAACTGATGTTAGAAATAGTTATTCCGCTAGTAGTGTTTGATGATCTAAGCAAATATTAAAAGGAATTAACTATAAAGTAGAAATCTGATAGTAATAAGCTTTTCAAAAGCATTATGTAGTTTTTATATTTTTGTTCCTGATACGTGGCGCACTGATTATATATTTTGTTAGAAATTCAATATTTTTTGCTTTGTAATTTTTTCTAGATGAATTCAACACGAGATAGATATAGTAGTTTGTTAAAATTTAACAACTCTTCTTGCTATTACCGCCAGTCTAGTAATTAGCAAATATTTGATGTAATACTCAAAATATCCAATATACAATAATAAAATATACAATAATTAATAAATTCTAAGTTACAATTCTGCTTCAATAAGACAACACCAACGTTATGAAGATTTTGGGTTCTTGACTAGAGCTATGCATCCTAATCTATTTTAGGTTATATTTTATGGAAATGCGAAGGTATTGCTGAAATTACGTATTGATAAATTGTGGATAACACTCACAGAAGATAATTGAAATTCTCACAATAATTTTAAGAATTAAAATTGGGATCGATCATGGAGAATCGCAATGCATATATATTAGTGATAAAACTTATAAAAATGGTTTCTGAAGAAAGTAAGCTCTCTAAAAATCGATATCCTAAGCGAAACTTACAAGACATCTATGAGTAATTAATTTATTTTCTAAACATGTATATACATTTATTTTTTAATAGAAATGGATTGTATTTCTAATCCATTTTGAAATGAAAAGGTGGATGGTAATGTCGATATTCAAAGATCATTCTAGCTTTGATTTTGAAGCCAAATCTGTAAAAATGGCGTAGCAGTCTAGTGGAAAATTCGTGGACTGCTTACAGAGTACAGCGGACTTTGGATTTTAATCCGATTTTTGGATTTTATGTATCTAGAAACGAGAAACCTCAGATGTTGAGGGAAGATAACTTTTTTCTTTTATTTTAAAGATTCATTGTTGAAAATAATCAACCAGAACTAATTAAATAAAAATTTATCTTCTTGTTTAATTCTGTACAATAATTACATAAATCCTTTTGAATCAAAAACATGGAGCTTGAAATAATTTGTTAGAGATAATGGTTTTGATTGTTTTAGAGCTGATGGTAGTAAGAAACACTTGGTTCGAGTTGTTGTCGATAATACCACTGCTAGTGGCTGGGTGTGCCCGCGACGCGACTGGCCTCAACAAACCGATGATGTACGTTGGGCTGGCAGGCGAGGCCATCGGTGTCTCCATAGCGCTCTTCTCTGCCCTCACCTGGAAGATGTCTGCCTGGAGTACAATGGTCTCTGAAGCCGTCGTCCGTGGAATCGCTGGAGGAGGGAAGATGTTCTATTTGGGCACTGCCTGCGTTGTTACCGAACGATCTAAACCATCGCAGAGAACTGCCAGGTAACATTATAAGGATACTTTCCTATCATTAGGGTCTCATAAGGTAGTATATCATTATCATATTCAGGAATGTTTGAGGAACTTTCAAAATTACAGATCCAACTTCTATTCAAGGATTGTAGATAACCATTATAAGTTAGGTTGTCGTCGCCGAAAAGTTCCGATTTTGGTTTTATCTTTTGATTTATCATATTTGAATTTAAAATATGCCCCTCCCTCAAAAATTTTATGGCGCAACTCGCGCCATAAAACACCCTTCTGCGCACCTCTGCTACTGGTGGACTCAGGAAGAGGAAAAGGAGAAAGAAGGCTTTTGGCCCGAAGCCCTCCTCCTTCCTCCTTCCCCCTCCTCCCCATAATAAAATGAATTTCTATGAGTGATATCTGCAAAACGAAGGTGGGTGGCAGATTGGGCTAACCCGTGTGTACAATACTTATTGCCCGGCAACCTGATTAATAAACAAAAGATTACGAGTTCAAATCCCGGTGCCAGGAGATTTTTAATTAGGCATAATTCCCTCCACCCTATTCCTTCGAGACGGAAAAAAACTGGTATAGCCTAAAAGGCAAGGAAGGTGAGAGAAAAAAAAGATCGGCTTAATGTTAAACAACATCCATACTGTTGGTACCATGCTAAGTCAGCGGATATTAACCTGTTCAACGTTGCAAATTCGTTACTTAAAGTTGATTTCGACGATATATTCACTTTTTATATTATAAAGCATGTATTTCAGCAATTAAATGTATTAATTGTCAAGAAAACATAGCTTCAAACTTTGAACATAAATTATTTTAAAAGTTTCCATTAGTTCCATTAGTTCGGAATTTTCATTTCATTTCCCCAGAAAACATGCTGTTTCCGTTAAATAATATTAGTTTTCAGAAATAATTATTTATCTTTGTTTCATCACTCTCCAATACCTTCTACGCCTTTGTATGTTAGATATCAATTTTTTCCTAAAAATCTCAGCTTTCCAACGATATATTACACGTATACCATCTGACAATTATTTCCGGATATTAATTTTCATTTTTATTTTTTTCTCCTTTATTCAATTATCAAAGTCTTTCAAAAGTTATATTTAGCCTTTTTTCACAACTCCTAACAGTGAGAGATAATTAATTATTTAAAATAAACAAAATTAAACGTACTTTAGAGGAAGATATTTGAACAGTGGACATTCAATACCTGTTAAGTGACATCAATGGGGATAAAACCTATCTGATATTAAATACCATTCAATTATACATTAATAAACCGAGTTTAATAAAAATCATTGGGGCCGTTTTTCAGGAAAAAGTTGCTATAACATCCCAGCTGAGATTCAATCCTTAAGATAGGTATTTGTATTTTAAGAATTGAATCTCAGTTCCGTATGACTTTTTTTTTTTGAGCGACTGTTCACACACACACGCGCACAGAGACTAGTTTCTATATATACACACAGGGACATCAAAACGAGTATTTCCGTTGAAAACTCGGATTCGAAAAGGTTCACGATCGCAATACTTTTCTTTACTATATATTACATAAGTAGTTAAGTGAAAGTAAAAATTATCCCCAAAAAGATTACTGGTCCTGTAATTATCGTTATTAAAAAAAGTTTAGTCTTCTAAATTAAATACTGAATCGACTACTGCTGCTTTTTAAATCTCGAATGGTCTAAAAACAGAAACAACTTATCTATCTGGCACAAGTAATTGACACACTTTGATCTGGGACGTAATGTTCACTTAAAAAAAAATGTAATGTTTATTTTTAATCAGTACAGTCTTGATAGTTGATAGACAATCCTAGAAGTTCAGAAATACAAGCTCATGTCGTCTAGAAAAGAAAAGTACATTTTGACCTATAATAATACTTAGGTATATGAAGCAGAAAGGCGGAGGTTCGTTTCTGGTCAATTTTTCGTAAATTCTAGGTTAATTGTGTAATATTTATAAGTGATCGTTATTGTGTTTTCCTAATAAAGAACTATTAACAAAACAAACTCAGTTTACATTATTTTGATTTTAATTCCTCTTTTTTAATTTCAATTAGCTATATATGTAATATATAGTGAGGGAAAGTATTGCGATCGTAAAAAAATTCGAATCTGAGTTTTCAACGGAAATACACGTTTTGAGGTCCCTTGAATCTAAATAACCAAGTCCCACAAAATGTGTGCATTTATGTGGTAAATCGAGCTCCAGAAGGAAAAGTCGTACGAAACTGATGTTAAGTATTTAATATAGGTGTATGCCTTGGATGTGACCGCAAGTTTTTCGTTAAAATCGACTAACCGGAAGTGGCAACGGTTATACACATTATTACAATTTTCTCAAAAACGGCTCCAACGATTTTGATTAAACTCGATGATTTAATGGTATAATTAAGTGGTATTTAATATAATTGAGGTCTTATCTTAAGCTCATGTTGCTGTGAAAGCCTGTTCTAATCTTCGAGCCAGCTCGGGTGAGCTCGGCCGCGCTCGTAACTCTTTGGTTCCTTCATTATAACTATTCCCTGTTACGATCTTTTATTTCTCATTTAGTTAATTATAAAATTGTTTCATAATTTGTATTTAACTATTTTTTATATCGGAGATCAATGTGAAATGGTTAATTACTTCATGTAAAATGGTTAATTGTTTCAAATAAAAAAATTAAAGGTACTTCAGAGTAACGTTGCCCAAAATCGGTCTTGGAAGAACAAGACCAAGGGCGCCAAACTGTTGCAAGACCAAGACCAGGACTGGTAAAAAATATCGATTTTCTTAATAAAAATTAAGACAAAATAGTTACTAATTCTTGATAATCTTAGTTACTATACGTTAATAATTGGTATAACCAATATGATTTTGCATTTAACTCCACTAATTTTGCAATCGGGCTTAGTTAGGTTAAACTCCTATCTAAAAAAATACAGTAATATCTCTATAGCAATAAGCTAATAAGTACCTGCAAGACTGTTGTGAGACTCTTGAGACTGTTGTGAGACTTCAAGACCAAGACCATGACCAACACTGAGTTTGCAAGATCAAGACTCGGTCTCGCATTTGGGCAACACTACTTTAGAGGAAGCTAATATTGCAAATTAAACATTTAAGACCTGTTAGAGAACACTAATAAGAATAAATCCTACATAATATTAAAAAACTGCCTAATTTTACACCGATATAATGAATTTAATCAAAATCGTTGGAGCCGTTATCGAGAAAATAGTAAAAATGTTGTATGTACATCGATGATGTAAAGTGCCACTTCAGGTTAGCTGATTTTGACGAAAAAGGTGCTGTAACATCTCACTTATATACAAATCTTAAATATGCAATTTAACTATCATACGAATTTTATGAAATTTATTGCCAGAAATCCAATATATACAATCTACAAAAGGCCACTACCGTTTCAACCTTCTTGGAAGATTAAAGGGATGGGATGTGCTTGATAGGGATTGTGCAAGAGGATTTGGATGGTACGTAAGGTTCTGATGAAATTTGGAGAATTTTTCTGGGATAAGGTCTAGGATAAATGGGATATTGAGGTCATGATATATTGTTTTGTTGGTTACATAGAAAGGAGCATCGACTATTGATTACTATATCGACTGGAAGGATTGGATGCGCTTGACGTTAGAAAATTTTGCTGTTCCCCATAGTTCTATTCAGTAAGTCCAAATAGGTTTTAGTCTTTTTTTTTTTTTTTTTCTTCCCTACCTCGCCTTTTTAGGCTATACGAAATTTTCCTGGTCCGGAGGGTGAGGGCGGGGAATTTAAAATCCTCTCCAGCACCGAGATGCGAACTCATACTTTTTAAATCTTCTCAAATCTCTTATCCAGTTGCCAAGCAACTCGCGGTGCAGTGCACACGCATTAGCCCATTCGGCCCCCCTTAGTATTGTCTTGTAGATCAGTAGCTTGTTTTTAATGGAAATTTTAGATTTTCTGTTTAGTAGTCGGTATAGTTGGCCGTATCATCGGTTTAGTTCCTGTCTTTTAAGTCTAGTATGAGGATTCCAGGTTAGTCGACAAAGCCAAAACCAAGGTACCCGACGGTACCTGAGAAAGTTAGTTGGACGATGTTTACGACTGTTTAACCTGGTGGACAGGATTTACGACAAAGGGTGAAGGTTATGTGTTTACATTTGGATTCGTTTATCTTAATGCGCCATTTCTTACACCAGTGTTCAATCAGGGAGAGGTGCATTTGTAGGTTTAATGACGCTGTTTTAGGATCTGAAGTATAAAATCCGTTTTACTGGGAATTAATCTTTTTTTTTTTTTATTTCAGTTTTTCCTATTTTCCATCTAAGTAGATTTTCGAATTTTTTTTTATATGTTACAATTTAGCAATGAAGTCCTGTAGTGCTTAACAATTCCAATGTTCTTCAATAATAGTTTTTAAAATATGTGATAGAAGATTATTATGAGAATAATTGGAATTCAACAATTCAACTATAGGCTTACATTGAACCTGGCTGCAGCCGCTTCCGGAGCTTGCTTGGCGAGCACTTTCTCCAGGCACTTCGTCAAGCACCTAGGCTACCAGACTTCCTTCATATCCATCAACGCCATGCTCTTGTTGGCTCTTTTCTTGGTCATCTTCATCTTCGAAGACGAGAGCAAGCTGATGAAGAGTGAGAGCTGGCAGGTCGTCGGGAAGTTAACGACTCTCTTCAAATCGAGGCCTAACGGCAAAGTTATCTGGCTCATGGTTCTTTGCAGCGCTTTGGCAACCGCAACAACTAAAGGTAATTTGCTAATTGTTTGAAGCTTTTGACATTCGATATTAATTTATAATATATAACCACTTAGTTGTAAATCTAACTCACAGATCAGTAATATTTTGGGATAGAAAATCTTAGCCTTATTAATTAAGCAAAAAAGAGAACGAGTTAGCTCATTGGGTATGAAATTGATTTCCATAGTTCTAGGTTCCGGGTTCGAGTTCGTCTGATGGTAGTTATTTATGTATTATTTTTCATCGACAATGACTCTGGATTCAGGGAAACCAGCCTTGGTTATTCCCAGCCGAATTTGATATTCTTAATTGAATGAGGGGAAAAATTTGGCTTGATCTGGTTGAGTGTGATGTCAGTAAAATCACCTCCTTTCACAACTGTTGACCAAGAAACAGTACTTTCTTACATAATACGGAAGAACTAAAAAAGGCAATTCTGGTTAATACTTATAAGTCTTGGTTACAGTGGTACAAGTATTTGTATTTTTTTATAAGTTATACAAATTTCACAACTTAATAAGACATTACACCTTTTATTAAAATAATACTAACATTAATACACAGAACAACCTAATATATGTCTGAGACACCTGGACACTAACCAGCACCCTAGAAAAAAGTGTTGAAAGATTTGAGAGCAAAATCCTCGGCACGATAATCGGAGCGATCTGGAATCAGAGTACTAACACGTGGAAAAGAAAGACCAATAATGAACTACTTACACAAACTGGTCAATCAATGTCCCGTGGTATGAAGGCATGGAGGTTAATATGGGTGGGGCATGTAGCTCGTAGTAATCTATCTGGAAGCCTTTACATGACAATGAATGCCTCAATAGAAGGCAAAATACCACATGAAAGGCCAAAAAGCAGATGGATAGATATAATGAACAAAGACGCAATAGAACTGAGTGCAGATAAATAGCCCAAGACAGGCAGAGATGTAGCAGGCTTGTTAAGGCGACAAAAAATCTACATGGTCTGTAATGCAAATAAAAAAAAAAATTAATTTAACTATCACAACTTTTTGGGAAATAAAATTACATAGCTACAAGCCTGAGTTAACATATCAATTACCGCAATATTAGATTTTTATCCTATAAAACCACCTTTATAATGTTGTTTTTGCGGAACATGCGGCTAATTATAATGTTTTGAAGAGATAAGATGATGACGGTATTCACAGGTTTTATAATACACTCTTTAATTACTCAAACCGATGAAAATTTAAGAAAGGTATTTAATCTACATAGATAATCTATCTACGTTCCATTATAAATTAAAACTTGATTGGCGTTAATATTTATTATGGACCAATTTTTTATGAATTTGTTTTTCATTAAATCTTCAAAAGTTTCCAAGGATATATATATATATATATATATATATATATATATATATATATATATATATATATATATATATATATATATAAATAATAAAATTCAAAATATCGAGGAAAACAATTTATTTTAACCCTTATACATTTACTTTAATTTAAATTTAATTCCTTCCTTTTTTTTAAATTAAAAATAAGTGGAAAATAGAACCTTAGTAGTGATGGAGCTCTGCTGCTGACGCTTCCTCCCCTTTCTATCCTTAATTTTCTTTTATTTATTTCTCATATCATACAACTGAATAATCTGTTTCTTTACTTCCTTTGCAGTCTTTGATCACTTAATAAATTCAAACACGATCTCACATTCCCCTTTTCATTAACCTCAGAAGTTAAAAAATCAAAATACACAAATTAATAATCTCATGCAAGATTGTAGACAAATCAATGTGAGGAAATAAAGAAAAAAACATAGAAACACATGGAGATTGAAACCAAAAAAAAATCTTTTTGATTTGATGGGATTTATTGGAATTTATTTTTATTCTCCAGTCATGACACCTTCTTCAAGGTTTGTGATACGAGATTGGAGGGTTTGGGATGCAATTAAAGGGTCATTATTAACAGATAGGATACAAGTGTCATCTGCATAGGTGATGATGACCGTGTTGGGATAGGTTAGGATATCAGCTTTATAAACTGTATAAAGGATAGGACCGAAGATGTTCCCTTGAGGAACATCAGCAGACTGGTGAAGAGGGATGAACATGCATTATTATGATTTACTTTAAAGTACCGATGAGTAAGGTATGAACGGATAATGAGGAAGTATGTAGGAGGTAGGAATTTACGGAGTTTATAAAGCAGTACCGGGTGCCAGACTCTATCAAACGCCTGTTCAACGTCGAGTACAATGCTACCGTACAGTACAATGCAGAGTCTAAAAAGGTAATTTTTGGAATAATTTCGCGAAATCCAGATCACATGTGAATCCTCGCTCTCCGATGATCTTACGAATTTATCTTGTAACAAAAGGAAACATTTTTCATATACAGGGTATCTCGTTAGGTTGACAGTAGACTTCAAGATCAACAAAAATATTTAATTACTTTAAAATAATGTATAATTACTTTAATCAAATATTTTTTAAGTTATCACTCCCTATTCAACGAAAAATCTGACTTGCTTAAAAAAACAGAAATCTTTATGTTCCTGCTTTTCTGTTGAAAATTGGCTTGTTTATATGAACTTTTTTGTAGGCCTTGAGGTCTGCTATCACCCCTATACAAATTTCCCTCTACTTACGGGACAACCTGTATATTCTTCTTTTCCCTTTCCACTTCACTTTGACGTCACTATTCCACATCAGATAATAAAAACTATTCAAACTAGAAACACAAACTCTATCCAAGAGGAAATTCCGAGACAAACAAAGCTTGTTTCTTGAGAGAAAAAGTGTGTCTTCAACCTCTCCATATTTGCAGCAAATCCATATTACAATGTCGGAAGGCATTACTAGTTCTCTCAACCAGAAAATGATGTGTCCCACTGTCACCGCCATCATTCCTTCTTGCTATTTCCTTCTCACATGCCAGTGAGCATTCGGCTTTTCTCGGCTGAGACCAGGAGTGACCAGAAGGGGGTTATGTGGCCCAAAAAATTTATGAGGAGGACACTTTTTGAAGGGGTTTTCAATTTTTGAGGGGGCACATTTCGAAGGGTTGTGAATTTTCAAAATTAAAAGACAAATGGAATTATAGAAGAGACCGCAGTATGTATGTATGTAGGTAATCTATGAATATTTAAATTATACTTTCGTTTGCACTATTATTAAAAAGAAGATAGGAATAAAATATCTTGGGAGGAATCGGGACAGGTTTATTCGCCATCGGCCTTGGGAGGAATGGGCACACCTGGCTGGGACCACTATATATAAAACGATAATTACTTCGAAAAAAAATAAGTAGTTAGTTTCTACCTATGAAATGGCGTTTAAGTGATTTTTTAAGTCATTTTAAATGAAATTACACGAACAATAATACTTTAAGAGATAATTTTTTATTATTTTTTTCATAAAACATGGTTATATTTTACCACTTTGGGGGATGAGGAGAGGGGGCTTCAGCCCGAAAGCTCCTTCCGTAGATCCGCCTGCTGCTGAGGCTCCGCTATATCACACCACATTGTAAAATCTATTCATGCTATAAAACAAAGTTGTAACAATGTAACAAAGTTGTTTCTTAAAAAGAAAAGTGTTTTGAAATCATTTATGACATTTATTAAAATAGTGTTTCATTTACGACATCTTTATCTATACTTGTGAAAGCCCTAGTCCACACAAATATTATTCCTATTGATGACTAAAACATTTATGTCTTTTCCAGCTGAAGAAAATCTTTTTTTGAATTATATGATGAAAGGGTTCGGATTTTCCTTCAAACAAATAGGATATTTTCAGACTTATCAACTGATCATTAGAGCAGCCAGTGAGTAGTACAGATGAAATTAAGTAAATTACAAAGTAAAACAATAAACATTTGAAAATATTTATCACAGGTTCACTGTCGCTGCCGCTTTTATTGTTCTCTTTCTTGAAGAATTCGGGATTCAAGATTGGAATAATTTGCTCCATAATTGCAGTAATTTCATCGACTGCAATGGGATTTGCAACAGCGAAACTTGAGCTTCTACTCAGTATGTATAAATAAATAAATGAACCACGAATTGCAAAGATTTAATTGATAAACAATAAAAATATTACTGAGAAAATTATTTAATTTATTTCTTCACAGTTACTTTATTGGATTTTTCAAAATGTTTCTTGGTGACTATACCTCTTTCCATGGTGACAAGATGTGTTAACGCCTATGAAATCGGTAAATAAATATTATATAAGTAATATTTGAAAATTCAACTTGAGGAGTTTTAGATTAATATAAAAGTATAATTTATTTCAGGCATATACCTAAGCTTATGTTATATCTGGCAAAACATATTGATTGGAGCTTTCTCCTACGGTTACGATACCATCTTCGCTTCAACTGTAAAACAATTACCTGGAACATTTTATTTTGCCAGTGCAGCTGTTTCTGGGATGCTGGTCATTCTCTACAGGTAATAGCACTTTATGCTGTTATTATTAACACTATAATAATGCTTTGATTTTTTAAGTTTAACAAATTATACTTAAAGGGGGTCTTAAACTTAAAACTTTAAATCGGGACTGAAATTACACTGCACCAAGCTAAAAGTGAGATCAAAGTTGACGAATAATCCTGGAGACTTTGCAACACACTGCCTAAAAGCTGGACAGTCACGCCGAAAGTGGAACGTTTTGTCACGTTAGTTATACTTTCTTAGTTGTGCGTAAAGCCATTAGGCCTATGAACAACAATATTAAACAAATCATTTAATATTAAAAATACATTAATTGGAACAGTAAAAATTGCACGATGTACAATGTAATGTACTCTTAATCACTTTCGAGGACATCTATATCATCTGTATATCCTATAATTATATGATCCATTCCGACTAATATCCTTTCATTTTCATGTGGTATTCTTATCACCTTCTCCCAGGATTATGCTAAACTGCACCAGCAATAGGCCACCTCCCACTATCAAACCAATTTCGAACTTTGAAGGCTACAAATATTTGTCCTTGTAACAGGATTCGGCATCTCGTGAATCTCAGGTCAGTTATGACTTTCCAAAAACATTTTCTATCCACAAAAGGCTGTTTGGAAATCATATCCTGAGCTTTTTCTCATCGTTTTTCGAAACCCCACTTTAGGATGAAGATCTGGTTTACCAACCTTCTTCCTATTCTGAATTCTGCTTGGCAAATTTTATGATATGGATATATCCGGTTTAGAATGATTCTGACCATTTCATGTAGGCTGAAATGAGTGCTATGCCTTTGTAATTACCATTTATACATACAGTTCTTCTTTAGGATAGGACAGATTAGGTTTGTGTTCCAAGTCTTTGGCATCACATATTTTCTGGATTAGTTGTTACTGCTTGGCTATTAATTCTTCCTCCCCGTCTTATTGGAGCAGGATTTGGTTTTGTACCAAATATAAGCTCCTGTCATACTCAAATACCATGAATGCGGTAACCGTTGGATTCAGAATTTTATGGAGGTTTAGCGAATCATACTCTCCGCTTTTGTTTTTCTTTCTAAAATAAATAAAGTCAATATTGCTAGGCTTTGATACTAGGACGGTGTTAAGTCTGTAGATTGATACGGGACAAATTGGGCTTAGAAGATTTTGATGCATACACTAAGACCCCGATAGTTACTGCGTTTTTAAGCCCAAAAACCTACTATTTTCGAGATAATGCAATAGAAAGGGTTCGAATCTATATAACCTTACGTTAATTATAGTACTGTCATGGAATATATGTCTCATTTCGTCGACTTGAGGTCTCTATGATCGAGAGAGGAGGATTTATATTGTTTATCTAAGGTGTTTTTTTGTTGGTAAGCCATATCATTGTTTACTTTTCATCAAATCCACAAAATTGAGTCACCAATTTTGAAGGTTTCCTTTTCCTTCAGGCAGGAAATTAGTCGTCACCAAGAAAATTCTAGCAAAAAAGTTATGAAAGAAAAGAAAATTTATTTACGAATGACTCAAAAATTAAACACTTCTCCCTGGATTATGTCAATGATAATATAAAAGATTACTAAATTCCCTACAAAAGAAAAAACACACATCAAAATCGGACAATTATTATATAAAATACAGCTTATTGAAATTTGGAAACATGTTGGTTCCAAATATTGAAGGAGTTTTAAAATAACTTTTGTTTGCTTTGTCGATTATATTTAGCGAGAAAGTAACAATTGATTTCTTTTATGATACGTTGCATTACTTTATTTTCATATTAATTTATTATTTGATCACAGAAGAATATACTGTGCGAATTTTCGCATGGGCCTACTAGTTTATATAAATAAAATTAATAACAATTTTTAATTAATCTTTTGTTGACAGGATCGCACTACACATATATGTTCCTTCAGAAAATGAGGACGACACAGAGAATGAATCAGACTTGGACAAGTGTGTAAACTGTTTTAATATTGCAGTTAAGCACTAGATGAGTTCATTAAGCTGCCTGAAAAGGCATCAATTTTTACTATGATTTTTTTTACTTCACCAAGATGAGATTGCCGATTAATGTGGCTAGATAAAACTTACTTCGGATGGGTTGTAAAATAATGACAACGGCACCGTCAGAAAAATATCAAGCTCATTATCACAGAAGACCATCTATTGCAATGGTGTCAAGAGTGGTCTTTTGAGAGAAAGGGTTGTTGGAGAAATTTACAGGAGATTGAGAACAATGATATGATAAATACATAGTTATTTTTAAGAATGTAGAATATGAAATAATATTCTCAATAAAAAATAATAATAATGTGCCTTCTTTAAGTTAGAAGAGAAAACAAACTTCACTTATGAAGAATTTAAATCTTATTTTTTTAAAAAAACTATGTATTTCAATAAAAATGAGTGATTTGATATTGTAATGTAGTTATATGCTTATTAATCAAAGGCCATTTATTTAAGCCTTTTATATTTCAAATTTTAAATATTTAAAGAAATAAACAAAATAATGAAAACATAGTGATTTTTATTTTCAGTTATAGGGTCTTAACCCATCAATTGGAAATGCAGGTATAAAAAAAATTTGGGCGAGGCTCAAGGCATTTGCCAACTGTTAATTAAACCATTGTAAAGATTTATGCTTCAAATAAAAAATAGATACCAAGTTAAAGAAGATCGTTAAAAGATATGAGAAAAAGACTTGAGGCCAAAAAGCAAAATTGGATATGAGGACTAAGAAAAAGTTAAAATTTGCTGAAGACTTAACTTTATTACAAATTAAATTACAATCAGATGAAAATAAACCGGTGAATGTTATTTCCAAATTTCAATATAAACACTATTTGTTTATACAAAATTTTTTACAGTTTGTAAAATTTTGATAAACAAATATACATAGTTTAAAAAAACTAAATATACACACAGAAATTATGGTGACTTCCCAACTCGAAGGAAAAGTCTGGTGCAATGTATGACCACAAGACTTATACACAAAGAGCATATAATCACAGCTCTTGACAGATTGCAGCTGATCAAATTGCTTTGATCCATCACAATTTAGAATCATGGCATCTGCATACAAATAAGGATTTATTTAATTGACAAATACTAGTACAAGTAATTAAATAAAAATTTCATAAAATAAGTATATTTACAATAACATGCAATTCTTTTGCAATAAAATAAATAAATAGCCTTACATATATGTGTGTGTGTGTGTGAGTGTGTTTATATATATATATACTTTGGAAAAGTATATGGAAGTGCAACAGAATTAATTTTATAATTAAAAAAAATTGTTTTATCAGTTAAAATTATATATCATTGATATTTTCTAAAAAGGACAAATCCAACAATTCACTACTTTATCAAGAGAGCATATTTTGAGTGATTTTTCAGGTGGTCTACAGGGAGAATGTACAAATATGAATATTACATATTCACTGTTTTAATACAATGGTATCATTTCTCAATCTATTGATGTTAGCGAATGTAATTAGGAAAAATACTCAATTTGTTGAATTTTCCTCTTCGTACATTGATATAGAACAATCTGGAATGATTTCTAGCAATTATACAGTGCCAATTTTTATTTTTTCAATATATTTCATATAATACAAATAAAGTATACAAATACCTTAAATTTTAATAAATATCAAAATTAAAAAAATGTACATTTATTTACTTTTTAAAATAAATAGCACCACATAAAGAATGTGATATGAACTTTGTATCATTGATTTTCTTCAGAATCAGAATCATTTTTAGAAAGTGTTGGAATAATGCTGTTTGAAGGAAGAGATTCTTCAGGTTTTGGTTCAGACTCGTCAATCTGCAACGACCATTCATCAACTGTATCAGAATTATGTTGGTCATCGTCAGATGGTTTGTCTTCCTCTTTAAAATTTGAACTATCTGCTGGTGGAGGACTGTCATCTTGAACCATTTCAGAATCTTCTCGTGAACTTCTTCTATTAACAATGATCAATAAACATGTTATTAACAAAATGAAATATTTGGAAAGAAAATTGCCTTATAACCATAAGAAAATTACACATAACTAAGACTGAATGTATTGCCTATAAGACAACAAAATAATTAAAACTAAATAATAAAAAAAAAAACTAATTTAATTTTATGTTGTTTAACCCCCCTTTATAGGAAAAATTATGTAACTTTTTTTAAAAATTTTTATCTTTATCATTTTAGGCCTAATTTAGTTTGGTCTTTATTAAAAAAAAATAAAAAAAATTAGTATAAAAATAATATATCAGTGTAATTTGGAATAACAATAAAAAAAAACATTATTTAAATTAAAAAATATTGCACAAGATTCATTCAAGTTATTTGCTCTAAATTGAATCAATTTTCTAGATATCTAAATATTGTCCTACCAAAAATGGGATGTAAAATTTTTAATTTTGTAATGGCAAGAATATAAACAATTGTACTTTGAGAAAAATGTAATAGGATCTATAAAAAAAAAACTTATATTATCATTTCTTTGATATAAAAGACAATTAATACTTAAAGTATAGTCCATTGCTATTAGTCATCTGCTCGATCCCACACTGATAGCATTCTTTGGGCTGGCTGTCAAAGAACTCTTGGACTACAATTTCAACTTCCGCAAAATTATCGAATTTTTCCCTTGAAGTAAATGGGTCATGGATCTAAATAAGTAGTAATGAAGGCTAGATCTGGACTATATAGTGGATGAGGTAGGAGTTTGAATCCAGGAAGTCTTTACTTTTCTTTCGTTTGATGGGAAGTGTGAGGACGAACATTATTTTGTTAGAATAAAATTCCTTTTCGGTTGATCAAAGCAAGATAACGCTCTGACAACTTAGACTACAATCTTTCTAGTTGTTCACAGTACAGTTCAGAATTCATGGAGCATCCATCAAGAACTAATTCGTGATGAATAACACCTTCAAAAAACATAAAGCATGGATTTTTTTCGAATTGTCCCCTAGCAACAACGGGAAAAGCAGTTTGACCACGATCTAGCCATTGCTCATGGGTATTCGGATTTCAGCAGTAAACCCACTTTTCATAACAGCTGACAATCTTCCAGTAAAATCTCATATCAGAAGGGGTTTTCAATAAATTTTCACAAATTGCTAACCTCTTAGCTGATTGCTGAGGAGTAAGTTCGTGAAGGACCAGTATACTGCTCTTTTTCACTTTCTCCATGGGGAGTAGATGGCGACTAACAGTATCTTTCAACACACCACACTCCCTGGCAAGTTTGCGAGTACTTGTGGACAGATTTGATTTAACAGCTTCCTGCAGAACCTCATCAATATATATTAATGGTTGTCCGGAACCCTTCTTTCTTTCCAACGTCATATCTCCACTGCTAAATTTTTCAAACCAACTCTCGACAGTGTGCTGGCCAAGGACACCTTCCCCTTCATATTTAATAATTTCACAAGTTGCTTCAATGGCTTTGAAATTGTTTTTCCAGTAATGTCTTCAAATATGAAAATTTTGTAGAACACTATCATGTTTGTTCTTTGAAACAAATAACTAAACCTGAGACTTTTTTTGAAGAAGTCGGAAGAGATTAAACAAGCTTAGAGAATGCTCTAAAGGGATTATTAAGTATTGGTAAGTATTAAATAGGATTAAAATATTTGCATTCCTTTGAAATCTTCAATATGATAAACCGATCATTTTTTTTTTATACACCCGATTATAATACTCCATATTGTTTTTTACTTTTTCTTATGTTATATTACAATCAATCATCTCCATACCATTATAAATAATTGTAATTTGAGTATATTAGGTATTAAATAGGATTAAAATATTTACAGTCCTTTGAAATCTTGAATTTGAAAAAATGATCATTTTTTTATGCACCCTATTTATTATAATACTACATATTGACTTACTTTTTCTCATATTATATTAAAATCAATCATCTCAATCCCATTATAAATAATTGTAATTTGAGATGCATTTAGGACAAACAATTCATGGTCATGGGTACAAATGTTGTACCAACACTTCTATACAACTACTTCCAATAGAAGAAGTCTTCGGTCCCAATATTCTACGTAATACTTTGTTTTCAAAAACCTTAAGATTTTGCATATCCATTGATGTAAGTGACCACGTCACGCATTAATAAAGAACTGTAGGTAGGATAATGGTTTAATAGATTCTAATTTTTAAGTTCTGGGACAGGAGGCGAGATGCAAAGTACTTTTCCACAGAAAAATAACAAGCATTATCCACCTTCATCCTAACCTTAACTAGAATGTACCAAAGTTTAAATTTGGATTTGAATCATTACATTTTTACAATAATTGATAATTCAGTTTTTTCCATTTCCATGTATTGACATATCAGCTGCAACCATCATAAAACATCTGATAGACTTACTCTAACCTTTTTGGACTCCCGGCATGTGTTCGCTCTGATCAGGGATTCTCTTTCATGGCCCAAGAGTTCAAACTGTTACTAAATATTTGACAGGTCCCAACGAGCTGGAATATTCCCTTACATTCCTAAGGAAAATGGTCAATGTGGACAGTATATTTGGAATACTATCACATTGGCCTTGATGTCCCATGGGCTTGAAACCAAACAGTGACAGATCAATAATGTACAACACAGCATGAGATGATTACTGTGCACAGCTACAAATGCTACTCCACTTGAATATATATTCCTTCATCAAAATAGTGGTACATCACTCAATATGGCTCATAAATTCAGGATCTATACTCAAACAACGAGCCCAGAGTGACAGCATGCAAAGACACGAACGGAACTCTTTTAAGCCACAAAGATGACGTACTAAGGAGATGGGTACAACACTTCAAAGACGCATTAAACAGAGAAACGGTGCCTGGAGAAGTAGGAGTAATGAAGGAAGACTCCCTGAATTCTATTGAACCCCCGGATGAGGAGAAAATGGAAAACGCCCTGAGGAAATTGAAAATGGAAAGGCGCCAGGCCCGGACGGAATCCAGTCAGAGCTGTTGAAATGTGGAGGTGAAGAACTCAAAAAAGCTCTGCATGATTTAATGCTGACCATCTGGGAGAGGGAAGCTATGCCTACGGAATGGGCAACAGCCATTATCTGCCCAATACATAAGAAAGGAGATCAAACAGAATGCGCTAACTATCGAGGAATCTCACTCCTTTCGTGTGCTTATAAGCTGCTCTCTAACATTCTTTTTGAGAGGATCCTCCCGTATTTTGAAAAGGAACTGGGGAAATATCAGGCAGGATTTCGAAGAGGACGCTCAACCACTGATCAACTGTTCTCTCTGAGGATGATCCTAGAAAAGACTATGGAGCATAAGGTAGTCACCCACCATTTATTCCTGGACTTTAAAGCAGCATACGACAGCGTTGATAGAACACAACTATGCTGTGCCTTGGAGGAGCTAAGCATCCCTCAGAAGCTCGTACGCCTAATCAAGATGACCATGGACAGCTCGAGATGTAGAATACGCGTTGGTTCTGATGCCTCCGAAGAGTTTAAAGTGAGCAGTGGGGTTCAGCATGAGGATACCCTCGCCTGTCTATTGTTCAACTTGGCAGAGAAGAACGCTGTAAGAGACTCCGGTATTGAGACCAGCGATATAATCTTCAATCGCCTGACACAGCTTCTTGGTTTTGCTGATGATATTGACATAATAGGCAGGTCTGAACGGGCTCTCAGAGAAGCATTTATAGGCCTTGACGCAGCTGCAAGACCAGTTGGTCTAGAAGTCAACGAGAGGAAAACTAAGTATATGAGAATTGTTGGTGAGGTGGATCTGAACTCTCCATTTGAGGTAGGTTCTTTTAAGTTTGAGAGAGTAAAAAGTTCTATATACCTTGAGTCTTAAATTAATAGCAAAAATGACATGGTTCAAGAAATACAGAGAAGGATCACGGCTGCCAATAGATGTATCTTTGGACTTGGCCGACACTTAAGAAGTAGGTAGCTCAAAGAAGACCAAGCTGATCATATACAAGACCCTTGTACGGCCTGTTTTTACATATGGCTCAGAGGCTTGGACGATGACGAAAAATGATGAGATGAAGCTGAGTGTGTTTGAGCGAGGAGTCCTCAGAAGGATTTATGGTCCAGTAAAAGAGGGTGATGTCTGGAGGAAAAGAAAAAAATGATGGAGGAGCTGCACCTCGCAAGACGGGTAGGAAGGCCGAGGACGAGATGGTTGGACTACGTGGCTTATGATGCAAGAACCCTGCTTGGTGTACGGATTTGGAGAGCTGCAGCAGAAGACAGAGCCAACTGGCGGAGACTCTTGGAGGAGGCCCAGTCTCGGTAACAGGATGTCGTGCCACATATATATGTACACTCAAACAACACAGTAAGCACGGCCCATTATTTGAAGAAATGGATTTGATAAAAGATAATGCAGACTATGCTCATATCACACTATCAGATAGAAGAAGTTAACGGTTTCCATGGAACATCTGGCACCAACTGGAGAACTTAACAGTGGTAAACTTTCTCAAGTTGATCAATCAGCACCTATAACTTCCACAAGTAGGCGATTCATCACTCAACCCAAAACTTTAATCTCAACTGGTATCACAGCCTTAATTTCAATTGGATCCACCCCAAGGTTGACCAGCCAACGAAAAAGCAGCTGAGCTGAGCTGAGCATAGCAAGAGGGTGTCGGCAACCGATTTCATAGTGGAGCTCAGCTCAGTCAGCAACTTGCCTAGCATCAGTACCCTTCTCATATTCCGTAGAATATTTTTTTAAAAATATATATATATAGCATATATAACATTTTTAAAAAATTGCCAAGTTGATCATGTTGAAGTTGAAAAGAAAAATTAATATTTGTGTATAAAATCAAATGTTTTCCCTTACACATTTGATTAGAGTTCAGTACTAGTCTGATAGCAGATCGGGTTGAAACATCCCTTATTATCTAATTTTACATCACATAACCTCACTTCTTATCTCACGAAAGCTGTGAGTTATTCCATTGTTTATTGTTGTTCCATTTGTGTGATTTTCGTCAAATTATGGATGTTATTACATTCTGAGAATTACCATCTTCATGAAGAAGAGGCTGTCGAATATTTTCAAAACGCCAGGATAATTTAAAAAGTGAAATTGTGTGAAGAAGGTCATCAAATGAAGTTAGACAGGAAGACGAAATGGAGATGCTTTTGTACCACTTGTAACAAAAACGTTTCTATAAGGAAAGCAACGTGGTTAGAGGGGTCGAGGATTTAGTTTTTAACGGCTTTACTGAACATATTTATACTCAACACATAGAACAATTATGGAGCTTAGCTAAGTGGAGAAATAAGAAACATAGAGGAACTTCCAGACAACACCTCAATTCATATTTATGTGAATTTTTGTAACGGCGGGCTCACAGGGAAGAGGACCTGTTCCTTGCTATTTTAAATAGATTTAAACTATTTTGTCTACCAAAATAAATTAAGCTAGATAAAATTGTTTTATAAGTACATATGTTGTTTATATTGTTTCTTTTAAATGTACATATGTTGTTTATATTGTTTCTTTTATACGTAAATATGTTGTTTATAGAGTTTGCATTGTTTCTTTTATATGTACATATGTTGTTTATAGTGTTCTTTTATTACATCATTTTTTTTATTATTACATTTATTTTTGTCTATTTCATATATGTGTTGTAAAATTAAGGTGTTTTGTTATTGCTGTGGGAATCATTACATTTATTTTTATCTATTTCATATATGTGTTGTAAAATTAAAGTGTTTTGTTATTGTTGTGGGAATTATCACATCTCTTTTTGTCTATTTCAATTTCAAATCAAACTATTTTGTTATTACATTTGTTTTCATCTATTTAATATATATGTTGTAAAATAAAAATATTTTTTATTATTATTTTTGTTTTTGTTTACAATTTCATAATACAATAAATACATAAACGAAGATAGGAATTATGTGTGCCTAATCAGAATTATCAGTGTTCAGGTTATAAGCATTGGCAGATAGCAGTCGATCCCATCTGGCTATCAGACAAGTACCAAGAATTCTTCCACATCCATCGCATATTTGCACTGAACCAAAATAAAATAATTTGGAGGTTGTGCTGTGAAAACAAGCGCAAAGAATGGATGACACTGAGGAACAAAGCCACACGGTTGGAGGCAGTGGTGAGTAGATGTGGTCCGGGACACAGGCGGATCTACGGGGGACAGGGGAACTTTGGGGCTGAAGCCCCTCCCCAAAATGGTAAAATATTACCATGTTTTATGGAAAAAAATTATCTCTTAAAGTATTATTGTTCATGTAATTACATTTAAAAGGACTTACGGAATCACTTAAACACCATTTCATATAGATAGTTTCTTTTTTTTTTTCCAAAGTAATTATCGTTATTTTTATGAAAAAAAAAAAAGCTTTAGGGCTGAAGCCCCCTCTCCCCAAAATTAAATCCTGGATCTGCTAGTGGTCCGGGAAGCTGAGTGCAGCTTTAAAACCGAACCTCGGTCAAGCCAAAGCTGAGAGGAGCTGCCCCTTGGCACACCGCTCAACTGCGCTCAGCTCTGCTCCGCTTCTGGTGGCTGGGCTTTCATCAAAAACCTTTGATAAGGTTCTGGAATCTGACTCAGCTAAGCTGCTCTTTCAGTGGCCAGTCAGCCTAACAGAACGAAAACCAAACTAACTGCCTCACCAGACCTCCCGTCTCAAACAATTCAGATCAAGCAAACATATCAGGAAAATTCCTTAGTACTTGCAGGACTATATTTCTAAATAAGTTTAGCAAGAATAAAGTTATGTCCTTCTTGTATTATAAATAATCTATTATCAATTTTAACTTTCAATATTAATATTATCAATATTGTAATAGCTCCTTAACCCTTTAGTGTTAAATAAAGCCTTAATGAAACGGTTTAGTTTTTTTAATTTTTCAACAATAAATCATAAATTAGATTATACATTATACAATTTTCACTTTCAATATTAGTATTACCAATATTGTTATAGCTCCTTAACCCTTTAGTGTTAAATAAAGCCTTAATGAAACGGTTTAGTTTTTTTAATTTTTCAACAATAAATCATAAATTAGATTATACATTATACAATTTTAACTTTCAATATTAGTATTACCAATATTGTTATAGCTCCTTAACCCTTTAGTGTTAAATAAAGCCTTAATGAAACGGTTTAGTTTTTTTAATTTTTCAACAATAAATCATAAATTAGATTATACAACAAACATTACTACACTTTTATTAAGATCAGAATAAAAAACTTTTCACTTATAGGAAGAACCTACACCAAGTTTCATTCTTCTAGACAAATTGAGTTTAGTGAGATTTGGTGGTGTGATCCATGAAGAGGTGAATTAAATAAAGGCTTAATTTTAAAAGTAGAGACCATAATTCCATTGATAATATTCATTGGGCATTTACCTTGCAGCAGGATGAACTGAAGAAGAATTGTCAGAAAATGACCCTAAGTCATCATCTGAAACAGATACTTCTGGCACACTTTTAACAAGATCTCTCAAGAAATCAAATCGATTTTCTGATAAAATGCATTGCTTCCTAAAATATAAAAACATTGTTATTGAAATAAAATAATGGCACAAGAGAAAGTAGAATAAGCATATAGCTTGCCTATAAAGCAATGTACATACATGTGATGTGGGCTCAGCGTTCGAGCATTCTTCATTGTTGTGATCTCCATAGTCTTTGTAATTAAAGACTCAACAAAAAGCTCTAAAGTGCGAGGTATATCATGTTAAGGAATTTTTGTCTTAAGTGTTTTGAACTATAAATGTTAGCTTCCAATATTAGGCACAAGTAACTAAGTATGTATTCAAATCAGTACTATTACTAGAGCGCCAAAGTATCTATCAGCTTTAGAATTAAGATAATGATATTCAGAAACGACCAATAATTTAGATATAAATTTGTAAAATATTATTGGGACTTGAATACAGTACATATAATGTACTGTTTATTTCCAACTATATAAATCAGGGCAGGATGAACAAAACTTTAAGATAGCATTATTTACTGTTGCTATAATGTTTTAATATGTGTAAAAATCATTATTATGATTATCATTAAAAATCCTAAAAATATAAAAGGAACAACTATCAAGGGAGAATGACAAAAAGAAACATCTAAAATATTGACAACTGTTAATAATGAAATACTCCTTGTTCAAAAGCTTATGATTAAAACTTACAACAAACAAAACATAAAGAAAATCAGAAACAATTTATGAAAGTGACAAACATGATTTATCTGTTAAAAAAAGGATATAAATAATGACAGGTACAGCTTGAGCTACTTTTCCAACTTCTTCATCTGTCTGCATAATCTTCTTTATCCTCCCCTGCACAAAACTAGTTTTAAATTTATGCAATGAATAAGTAAACTGATTCATCTGACAACTACTCACAGCAGGAAATCTCGCATTATATTTTTTCTTCTTACTAGGCATTACTTAAAAATATACACTAAATTACTTAGATTCTTCTTATTAGCACTCACACCACTTCAAAACAAACACTAATGTTTTCTGATAGTAAGTACTTCACAAGCCCGTTGCTAGTGAATCGAGGTTTTCGGTCTAATCTAATATCAACAGAAGTTCAATTGTGATATTTCTTGATGACGTCAGCTTACTTAGTCACTACTGACTTTTTTAGATGGGAGTATATTTCAACTTTATAATCCAACAATAACTTTATTTATTGTATTATTTGTTAATAAATTTATTTAAACAATAATAACGTCTACTTTTTTTCATTGCTGTAATTGCCTGACTTTCAAATCTATTGTGCATATAAATATATATATATATGTATATATAGTTATCAACCTTTTTTTACTATTAAATATAGTTCATATATATTTTTCTACACACTCTCCATTCAGATAGAGTAGTTCTCTACAGGTAGTGAGCACAAAGTACCTATGAGATGGTGGCAACTCATTCTTGGGTGTTATAAATATATTTCTTGGATACGAAATCTGACGTAGTATGCGCATTACATAACTTTCACTTACCATTCTATTTAGAGGACTAGATGACCCAGGAGTTCTGGGTGAGGGTCTTACAGTAAACTGTTCGATTCCCACATGGGTCATTTAACACTTATTTCTCGGCTGTCCCGAGAAACTCCCACTCTGTTTAGTACTAAGTTAATACTCACTGATTATCTGCTAGAATGGTCTACCAGTGACAAAAACTTTCGTTTTTCTAACTCCCAATAGCCATGATCTACCTCAACGTTGTCCAACTATTTCATCCTTGGACGTTCACTTCTTTGGGCACCTACAGGCTTTCCGTATATTTATTGTTTTGGATGGATAAAAAAAAAGAAAATCTCTGAAAAAGTGCCTTGTGATTCAATCTGGTATGTAGAATCGTTTTAAGGGACTTTTCTACCAGAGATATTGGTTGGCAAGAAAACGACTCCCACCGGATATATCTCGGCGAAGAAATATCTCCTATGAATAGACTTCTGTACTGGCTCGCCCGTCAGAAAAGAGCAGCAGCTAAATTAAAATACTTGTGGTTTGCTGGCGGCAGAGTTCGTTGTAGAAAAGAAGATGGACACCCGGTGATCTACATCGATCAGCCACAAGATCTTGGCATTTTCTGCTGACGGTTCGACATTCGTCAACTAGATGGTCATAATTTGGAAATGTTAAGCATTGCCTACTATAAATCACTTTGCTGTATTATGTTACCGTTTTACCATTATTTTTTCTCTAGCACAACTGATGTAATCTTTTATTTTATCATGTTTAGTCTTTTTTATCATTGCTGCATATTATTATTATTATTTGTATTTAGCCATTACTTCCTTCTTTTTAAATGTTATTCATTATATTTCAGCTGCCTTTCATCATATTTCTCTATTTCCTCTTCAACATGTCTAGTGTCCTGACCTCTAGTCATGTTAATTCCCAATCCTTACCAGCTCATTTAGACGAATTTCAGCAATATTTTACCCAAAATTTTTACCATACTATTGCAGTTTCCGAAGCATGGCTAAAACCCCACATACCTTCCTCTTCCGTTTCCTCAACCGATCACACCTTTATCCGCAACGACCGGATTACACAAACGGGTGGTGGTGTGGGTCTTTACGTCCATAATAGCCTAAAATCCCGAACCCTAGATATCTCACCCCCTTCCAAATGTCCCCACATGGAATACCTTTTTGTTGAAATTTCCTTTAAAGCCCATCTTCTCCTATAAGTTGTAGTATACCGCCCTCCTCTGGTACCTTTCGACCCATCCTTTGAATCAACCCTATACAAATTTATCTCATTTTACAGTAACATAATAGTTTCCAGTGACTTTAACGCTAATCTCCTTTCCGATTCCCACGATAAACACTACCTGGATAACCTTTTCTACTCCCTTAACCTCTTTATAGTACCATTTGCTCCTACTCATCATACTTGCTGGTCTGATACATGGCTGGACCTGTTTATCATCGATTCTGCGCAGAACCTTTTGTCCTCGTCCCAACAACCTGTTCATTTTCTGTCTTCACATGACCTCATCCAACTATCATACAATATCCAGACCCCTGCGATCCTTCCTAAAACCATAACCTTCCGCAATATAAAATCACTAACCCGTGAAAGCATCTTACCCGATATTGAAACGCTGAAGTGGAATGATGTTTACACCAGCTCCTCAATCGACACCATGGTAGATATCCTGACTTCTAATCTCCTCCATATCCTCAATACCCATGCCCCACTTAAAACCTCTACATTCCGCCGCCAACCTGCACCTTGGATGCGTCAAGAAATTCGAAATATGCAAAAGAGACGTGAGGCAGCCCGTAGACGCTTTAGAAGAACCAGGCTTGCAGATGACTATGAAGCGTTGAGGATACTCCGTAACTTGACGCAAACAACGATCAGGAAGCGAAAACCAATTACTTTCAAGAAGCCTTCTCCTCAGCTCTCGATTCTAAATCCAAATGGCATTTACTCCGAAAGCTATCTCTTTGCTAATCATCTTCTTCCATAGCTGCCCCAGTCTCTCCTGATGCCTTAAATTCCTACTTTTTGTCCTCCTCCTCTAGTAATATTTCTCCTGCCTCTTCCTATATTCTTGAATCACCTTCATTTAATAGTGACAATTTTTATTTTTCATACATCACTCCTACTAACCTTATTTCCTCCATAATGAAATCCCAATCCAACTCTACAGGAATTGACGGAATACCTATCAAACTTAAAATTATGCCTCCCTGAAATCCTTCCAGTTCTTCTATTCATTTATAACTTTTCCCTTCAAAATTCTGTTTTTCCTACATCCTGGAAAAAAGCCTTAGTCCGTCCTATTAACAAAATCCCTAACCCCACCTCTCCTAAAGATTATCGTCCAATTTCCATCCTCTCAAATCTGTCAAAATCCCTCGAAAGAATAGTCCAATCCCAAATTTTCAATTTTCTTGAAGAGTTCAAACTTTTAGATCCTCTCCAATCTGGCTTTCGCCCAGGCTTCTCCTCTCAATCCGCTTTAGTTAAAATCACAAATGACATACATACTGCAATTGACGAAAGAAAACTGACTGTATTAGTACTCCTGGACTTCTCCAAAGCATTCGACTCCTTAGACCATTCTATTCTCTTCACTAAATTAAAATCTCTATTCTTTCCCAATAGTTCTATCCAATGGTTCCAATCCTTTCTTTCTGACAGGACTCAAGCCGTTAGTATTCCAAATCAACCCTTATCTTCTTTCCTCACTTTGTCTCAGGTTCAAGCATTTCTCCTATCCTTTTTAATTCTTACATCAATGACCTTCCTAGTTCAATCCACCATTGTTCATACCATCTATATGCTGATGACTCCCAAATTTATTTTTCTTTCCGCCCACTGAGTTATTAAAAGCGTTTACCAATATTCAGAGAGACCTAGATAGGATAAGTGCCTGGGCAAGCTTGAATAAATTAAAGTTGAATGCAACGAAAACTCTTATAGGCCATTCTTATAGGTTCCAATTCCCTCCTTAGATCCATTTCCACCCATCCTTCCTTGATTATTAATGACCAACCAATTTCCTTCACCTCCTCTGTAAAAAACTTAGGAATTACCATTGATCAAAACTTATCATGGAAACCCCATATTGCTCAAATCTCCAGAAGGTCAATTGGTACACTTTAATTATTTCATCGTTCTCATCAGCATCTCCCACAACCTATCCGCAAGCTCTTCGTTTCCTCATTGATTTTCCCCTACTTTGACTATGGCTGTGTGGTATACAGTGGCCTCTCGTTGGAGCTTGAGGACAGACTGAAGAGAATCATGAACTGTTTTTTAAGATTCGTCTTCGGTACTTCGAGATGGTCTCATGTGTCGCACCTATATGCCGAGTCAAAGTGGCTCTTCCCCTCTTCTCACCGCCTATAGTTCCTTGGAAATTTCTTGTACCAAACGATCAATTCCCAGAACCCTTCCTATATCTGTTATCTCCTCCAGCCTAAACGCTTAGTCCACTCAATAAAAACGAGATCCTGTGTTTCTGACTGCTATATTCCATTCCACAGGACAAAAACCTATGAACGTTCCTTCTTAGCCCGCTCCGTCTCCTACTGGAATTCTTTGCCACATAACATCCGTCATGCCTCTTCCCTGTCAACTTTCAAATACCTCCTTTTCCAATATTTCCTTGCCTCCCAAACAGAAGATTTACCACCATAAATTTCATTTTATGAACTGAATTTTCGTGAAGTAAATGGTGGTGCCAACTGTTTAAGTTTTAACATAAAACAGCAATGATCTTTGTCAACTAGTTTGACTATTATTTTTACTATTTATTTATTTTTTCTCTTCTCATCAGGTTGTGCTTTTTCTTTCGGGTATATATGTTTATATTTTATACTTTTTGTCTTTCTGTATGCCAATATGAGAATGTATGTATAAATAGTTCCTTTTATTTATTTTTTTTTCCATTACACCACAAGTAATCCTAAGATTTTATTTTATCTTAGTGTCTGCATATTATTATATAAATCACTGTAGATATTATTACATTTTGTATTAAGTTAGTTTTCTATTAGATAGCCTATTATTTATAAATTGTGTAGTTATGTATATATAAATATGTAATTTCTCTTCTTCTTTTTTTTTTTTTTCATCACAATTAAGTAATTTTGAGAAGATTTTATGTTCATTTGTATATATATTTTATTTTTTATTGGTTACATACTTTTTAAATAATGCATATAATATTAAAATTTTTAGAAGTTAGTTTTTGGCCAGATTTGTACTTTACTTTGTATTAACTCATCATTGTTATTCTAAAGGGACTTAGTCCCAGAATAGAGTTTAATTGTCTATTCTATTCTAAAGTCATACGAACCATTCTTACTATCATTTTGGAGACTCCAAATCTTCATAAATTATGCATTAGATGTACCCGATTTTCATAGTCGTAGGGTTTCTGGAAACCTATGAAGAAGTGATGCTGGTTAATGTTAAATTATTGCGTCTTTTCCAACAGTTACATTAAAGCAAATATGCAGACAGCATGATTAACAATTGTTGATCCCTTTCCTAAATCATCTTTGGTAACCAACAACTTCTCCATATGCTCCTTCAAACTCTTGTAAATTAAAGATGACAGAACTTCGTAGATCACATTTAGGAGAACTATGCTTCTGTAATCCTCCTTCCATCCTCATATCGAAAATTATTTCATACTGTTAATTGACTACTGACATACCTTTTATAATTCAACTGGATTACATGCAACCAAGTATATTTATAATTTTCTATGTTGAGTACTTCCATAACATCCTCCTTTCCAGGTGGCATTTCAACTCATCTGAGTCCACCTGCTCTTCATATATCTCCTGCTAGTTAGAAGGTTACCATTCTGTCCTGTATAGTAGTTCTCTCTGGCTTAAACCCCTGTTTAACATGCTCTCTAGCCCTAAATAAATGTTGTATATCTCTTTGTGTTGGCATTTTGTACAGCTTCTTTGCCTTTGCTGAAATGCAACATTTTGAGATGATTGCATTATTACTTCCACCTCTGACCCATCACAATTTTCTGTTAGTTTCTTGACATGCCTAACACCTTCATTCTGAAATCTACTGAGATTAAACGGAATAATTTCTTTCTACTCCTCAGTGTTGTATTTGAATATACTAATAAAGCGGCCCAAGATCCAATGCCCACTCTAAACACTAGGACATAGGTAGTGTGTCTGAAATACACTAGGGACTGATCAATTCAGTTTCATATTTGTCCATCCATGACTTTTCAGAATCCAATCATAAGTCCTTTTTCTCTTATTTACTAAAGTTATCAGTCTTACTTTTTAATATCTGTAATGGATACATGTTAACGAATTTAAGGAAAGTAGGTTATAAGCCCAATGCTCTGGAGTCAAGTGAAGGGGCTGCCTCCTATACCTCCTTACAGGCCATGTCTACCCAGCCAACCAAAGATACTTCTCCTGCCTGAGAGACGAGAGGTCACCTGAGCAACCCATATTGGCCCTCATCGGATCTGTCCACTACTCCCCAGAGAAAAGTTCTCTGGCTTGTTCTAACCATTGTTAGACCCTGGATTTAAAAAAAAAAAAAACTTATTTTTCATATTTTCCAAACAAAAATGAGAAGAAAGTTAATATGGTCAAGTAATAACTTCTGCTACTTAGGTTCTTTTTTTTTTTTTTTTACTTCTCAACTATGAAGTAATTTTATATTCAATCTAGCTGAAAGGAAAGAAGATCTCATTTTGTTCTAGATGGCATCTGTTACTTGGTTTCTTTCTTTCTTTCTACAAGCCATGATTCTCATAATTCTACGATGAAAAGAAAAAATTCCAATGCTTTTATTAAGGAAAATGTTGCACACTTTTTAAAAAATATAAATGCAAAATTATGTTGAAAATATCAATGAATATTTTAAAAATGGGTAGTAAGATATTTTTAATCTTTATGAATTAAGAGAGTTATCCAAATGTTGAATAAAAAAATGAACATAAGCATATATAAATAAAAGAATTTATTACTATAAAACAATGAATAGAATAATATATACAGAAAATAGATTATGTTTTATAATATTCAATTAATTCTTGATCTTTAGGTTTGTATATTTCTTTTTCAACTAAATTGACAATCCATCCTGGTTCTAAACCATAAAAAATTTGTCGTGGATCTTTTCTTTCCATCAAAACATCATACATAGAATCACTTTCACTCAAGGATGGGAGTTCATAACCAAATTTTTGGGACAAAACTAGTCTCTCATAGCTGATTTTTTCAGGATCTGCTAAATAACCACGATTTTCAGGACTAGAGTAATAAAGAATAACGTCTTCACTGGGTAGCATACGCCTTGGAATAGGCTGTCCTGAAATGATAAATAAATTAAACAATGTTAAAAGTGTATTTTAAATTATGAAATGAATTACCACTACAAACTAACCAACCAGTGGAAAAGCTTTATGCGAAAATAACCAAATTTCATAGTTTTTTTTTTTTTTTGACCCCCTTCCTTGCATTTTTGACATACGGGGTTTAGTTTTACTGATATGGTGCAAATCAAGAAAAATATTCTGCCAACCAGGAAATTTGTATTAACATTATTTCAAAGTGAGTAAAAATGTAGGCATATTTAGATTTCCCAAAACAAACAAACTGCTGTTATAAAATGCTATATTTTAGGGCCTTGTGCTGAATGGAATCTCTCTATTGGCACAAGGTTCAAGGACAAGGAGGATAGACACAGAACTAAAATAGCACCTTGCTATCTGAAAATATATCCTTGAAGAGTACAAGGAAAATTCATTATGGATGGTGTTCCAGGAGAGTTTATTAAAAAAAATTATCAGAGGAAGGGAAAATATATCCATTTAGATATTTATAATGAAACTTGGGACAGCAAAAAAATGTCTTGTAGCTAGAGACAATCTATCAGTGTACCTATCTATTAACATGTATAGTAAATCTAATAAATATTAGTTCTAATCATCACCTCTTCGGAAAAATGCTTCAGGATCTTTCAAAAGCCACAAAGAATGAATGTCGAAGAAGCCAGTGGTGATAAAACCACCGTTTCTTTCAATAGCTGCAATTGTTGCTTCATTAGCCCATTGCACTTCTATGTTTATTTTACTACTAAAAATATCAGTGCCCTAAAAAATGAAAAGAAAAAGTATATAACTGTTAAAATTTTACTATAATCATTTCATTACTAATGGTACATTACTTGAAACAAGGTAATTAAAGGTGAAGATTAAAATGAGCAGTAAAAATCTTAAAAAGAAATTGAATGTTCAAAGAGTTTAGTCTAAATTTAAACAACACCTCATCTCTGAAAAGGAGATAGCCATTGACTAGAATACAAAATCCTGCCAGTTATTAGGGAAGCCTAACTGGTTTTGATCTAAAGGCTCCATAAATTAGTTGGCTTAGAGCACCGTGACCCTTGAAGGATCTATTGTGCGCATCTAGAGGTTCTAACCTAACAATATCCTGGAAATCAGGAGCTTCATGATGGCTGCACAGAGCAGAGATGACTAGAGTGAGTTAGTGGAGGAGGCTAACTTGTCACCGCGTTAGATAGATAGATCTAACAAATTAATTGAACCTTTAATAATTAAATTAATATGAATTACTAACTAATAGAGGGAAATGTATAATGTCCCCACCTATATTAGCCATATATCTAACGAGGGGAAGTTATGGACATAGATTCAACAACAAAGATGATATTCATTTTTAGCACCTTCAAAAACACTTAAATAAGAATTTTCCTTTGAATCGAAAAATGTAAATTTTTTGCTCAATATTCTGTCTTCTGTTAATAACTCTAAAGAGGGCCATCTAAAGAGGTCTATAAAGCTTTTAGTAAAGTAAAATACATTTGTCTTTCGATTGCAATTAAAATTTCCACAATATTTAACAGTTGTAATACCTACTGTAATGCTAAAAACATGGATGGACCTCATAACAGTTATTAATAGAAGGCAGAATATTGACCAAAAAATTTAATTTTTGGATTACAATAAAAATTCTTATTTAAGGATTTTTGAAGGTGCTAAAAATGAATATCATCTTTGTTTATTCCCAAAAAATATATTTCATGGTATAATATGTACAATACATGTTTATTCTCATTTTCAGATCGAATCTCAACAAAATACGAGATTTTGAGTATGTAATTTTTTAATTTTGATACCTTCTGTTTTAGAAAAAAATATATATTTGGCATATAACTGTACAGTATAAGTACAATATCGAAAAAACTAGTACTCACTTAAGGAGTAAAGTGAATTCAGATATTTTTTTAAGCAGAAAACAGTTGAGATTTGTATTTCGCACCTCGAAAAATCTTTAAATACGAATTTTAATAGCAACAGAAAAATAACAATTTTTGGCTTAAAATTTCTGTCTAGGCTGGAACTATCCATTTTTGTTCGAAAATCACAAAAATTGTGATTACTACTACATCGCTCCACTTATCCACACAAAATTGAGCAAGAATTTCAAAACCCCCCTGCATCGACACAGTTGCAAACGTGCCTTGGTCTTGAGTTTGGCAATCCAGGCCTAGATTAATCAAGAATATTAATTTTATTCCAAACTTCCATAATTAACTGTACATCTATTGTGGTATATGTTCCAAAATTGAGCAGATGCTGTTATCAGATGTGAATAAAGTTTGCATAAGTTATTCATGGAGCACTTACTCCAAACAGCTGAGTAGGAGTAGTTGCTCTCTTTTTGAAGTGAATAAACATGAGGAACTGCTCCAAAATGTGACTACTTACTATATAATATATACTCTTTCGCAATCTCAAGATTTTTACAGATATGATGACAGAATTTTTAATGATTCATAAATAATTGAAAACTGTTCAAGAGGCAGACAGGTCATGCTTGAACTGGTCTCTTTATTGCTTTGGTGAAATTAGCATGGAGTTGATAAGCGATCATTATCTTTGGTTTGGTTGCTGTAATATAAGAAACATTTTATACAAAACAATATAAGGCATTGAGAGATAATATTAGTAACATCTGCTCGCTGTTGACTAAGAAATCAACTTTTTAAACTAGAACAAAGATATATATTTTCGCATTACATTTTATAATACACCTAATTTATTTTTATTTAAAAACTAAAATGAATCACCTCATCAGTTAAATGAACCCCATAATGTTTTTCCTCTGGTCTTAATTTGTATAGGCCTGTGTTGCAAAGTGTAGCCAAATCAATCGGTTCTGATATATCAATTCTGTTAGTATCAATCATCTTTTGCAGTTGGAGGAGAGAAAGTGGAAGATACTGCTTTCTAAAGCTGAAAATTAAAATAAATGAGGCAATGAAACAATGAGCGAACATCATATAAAGACAAAACTACTCAATTATAACACAACATTATAACATGGCACAGAAAATAGAATACATGTAGAATTGCATTCCCTCTTTAAGCATTGTAGAGGGGTATACTCTAATTGAAATTTCTATTAAAGCAGTGGATTCTGGCTTATTTTTTTTTTCTGTATCCTTCCAAATTTTTCATTTAACACTAGTGTATGCTTACAAGACTTTTTTGGTCAGCCTTGCCTTCTTTTTTTTTCATCTGTATTCTTTTTTTAATAGTATTTAATTTCAATAATAATAGTTTTAATATTAATGACCAAAATCATTTAACAATAAATCTGTGGCTACGAAAATCTATATCAAAAAACAATTTTAGAGTTAAGAATTAATATTCTGAACTAAGCATAGAAAAAATTTAAACACTAATTTTAACTTTTTGATTGTTATTTACTTTTATTATGATTTAATCAATATTTTTTTTCTATTTATTTTATATTTTTATGCATATATAGTGTGACTGTGGTCTTACATCACTATAACTATTGTCCAAAAGACAGAATGTTATTTTCCTCAATAAATAAACAAACAGTAATTTTAAGCATATGCTATGTTTTATCCCCACAAAAGAAATGACATTAAAGTTGCTATGTTTTGGGATTTCAAATTATATTCGGGATGCCACTGGATAATTATTGATGATAATTACCCAGAAATGTTTAATAAAAATTAATAATAAAAAGATAGTAAAATAAATTTGGATCAATAATATATTAATTGGTCCAGGATTAATTAATTGGAGTTGTTTGCTCAAAGGCTGGTTTGGGTTTATCATGCTTTCTAATTACCAACATTATCTGTGATCATCAAGATATAAATAGGTGGCAGAATTAAAATAACTTTTACTAAAAAAAACTTAATTTATTTCTAGGTTTAATAAAGAATTATATACAAATAAAATCTTAATGTGCTATATAAAATCAACTATATACTATATACAATCAACTAAATACGTGATTCAATCATTTTAATCAATGAAATTAAAGGTATGATTTCAGTTGGACTGTTTTGAGAATTATTGCCATGAAATATCATAACATTAGGATTGGAAATTACAACTTAGCTATTACGGTATGTGAAGTGGTGTAGTTATTAGATTTCATCGCTGCATCTGCTGATCCAAGATGATCTCTTCATGGTTCAAAGGTCTGCCAGGATCATCATGGTCTATGTAGGGCCAAAGCTTCAGTGCCCAAGCCGGAAGAAAACATAAGACCCATCCTCAGGGCCGGAACTCAACAAGACCTTTTTTCTTACTTCTCGGCATATTATATACAAATATTTAGGGTAGGGCAAGGATGGTTCTCATTGGTTCTTAACTTCAACCTATTACTCCACAATAACTGATAATAACCTAAAAGGAACCAGTTACTTAGCCCATTACTAGTTTTTTACCTTCCCCAGGGTCCAGGTATAGGTCAGTCCTTGTAGGTACCTAATGTGTTTGGTGTCAGGATATTCCAACTTGTTTTCAACACTAAATAATAATTTTTCAAAACTTACTACCTATGTCAATACATAACACATACCATATATAATAAATCTTAATTATAATTATATACATGAGAAAAATATACTCTTTTGCAACTTACTGATGGCCTTTATAATACGGTTCATAAGGGAACCTTAGGTAAAAAGGATTGTTTCCAGTTTCAAAGCCAAGTCTCATATAATTCTGTCGTTGCCCAGATCCTTTATTACCAGCACCATGTTTATCTCCTCCATGCTGACCTCGACCCCTTACAAACTTTAAAAGAAAAAATAATTTAACAAATTGAATTAACTCAAGTAAGTAAGAATTAACTAAGCTATCATACTTCTTCCTGTTTTTTTTTTTAAATCATGAGAAATGAAATTAGAAACTTGACCAATCACATTGAGGGGAGAACAACACCATTGGGTTTTTGAAAATGAACTATTGTATGAATATTTGGAATAAAGAAGGATGATTCACCAAAAAAATTTAGATTGCTGCACAGCACTGAATCGCTTTGCCTGCGCTTGGTAAATATAACAGAGATGTAAGTATTGTGGCGAATAAAGTAGAAAGCAAGCGCAAGATTGTGGGGGGATAACAGACAAATCACTAAAAGTATAATCAACAGTAATCCGATAAGCAAGTTTCCTACAGATCAACTGAATGGAAGAAGAGGATGTAAGATATGATCTAAAGAATCAAAATTGTGATGCATTCTGGCAAGCTTCCGAGCAAGACTGAATATTCTTTAGTTTCTAAAGACAAGACTTTATTGATGTGATTCTATATCAAAGATTTAAAACAAACAAAACCACCCAATATCCTTGACCTTATCATTATCCATCCGTCCCTTGTATACAAGATCTCAATCTTCTATTTTGTACAACTCCTCTTACAAAACATTCATTTGAAATATCCTTCATAATTCATGTTACTTCATTTTGGAATTCCTTACACATTCCACTTCACTTACCTCATTCAAACACCACATATATAAGCTATATATATTCATATTAAAAAAAAATTTCATAATTTATTAGTAGCTCAGTAGTAAGGTATTGGGCTGTTAAACTCAAGGTACCAGGTTCGAATGTGACTGAAGTCAAATAATTTTCATTAGTCGGGAAACCCTCCTGGGACATACCCTGTCTCTATAAAGTGAGCATTCCTAGTTAAATAATTAATTAAGGAGAAGACCTGGTGGTTGAGTGTGATCCGATCACTTACCTGCACAACCGTTGGCCTTGAAATAGTACTTCCTAACAGAGTACTGAACCCAAAACCCTTCATGGGTTGTAGTGGTGTTTTATTTTCCATTTGTTAATGGAATAGTTAATATTATTATATCTAATATATAATATATTTAAGTTGTAATTAATGCAGTCAGACAAATGCTGTTGAAACGTGCAGTTTTGTTATTCTTAGGGAACTTAATGTCACATAATAAAGACAAACTTTTCATCTATAAATCCATTCAATGCAGAAAGTCTTGTAAGCAAGAACTGTCGGTGTAATCAGCATCAAACCTTCTAGTTCACTAAGCCTATTACTGTTATAAAATGTTCAATAGAAAACATAAATGAAAATGAACAAAATATTAGCAGTATATAATAATATTCGGCGCTACTGCTAAAAAACGATTTCTTGATGCCATTCTGGCCTCTGTCTCCTTGTGTAGTTCATTCTTTTCGGTGACTAGTGTTCCAAGATATTTAAAACCCCTACAAACTAGGAAGTTATGACCATTAATATTAATTGTATGTGGTGGAAACTGTGGGGGTTTCTAGGTGCTCTTCATATATTCCGTCTTCTTCTCATTGATCTTGAGACCTCTTCTATTTACCTCTCACTCCAACTCCTTTAACGCTCCAACAAGCCCCAGCAGGGTTCTAGGCACCAGATGGACATCAACATAGGCCAATACCTGAGTATATCTGTTATATATGGTGCCCCCAGGATGGGTTGTTATGCCTAGTGCTGCTCCTTCCATGGAAAAATTAAAGAGAATTGATGACAGAGGATCTCCTTGTCTAAGACAATTATTGGATGAAAACTCCTGTCCCAGTGAGCCCTGTGATTTGATCCGACATTTAGAACCAGTCACCATCATCTGAACCAGACGCACTAGCTTCATGTGAATTCCATAACTTCGTAAATCGTTCAGAAGGTTTACCCTATCATAGGCTTGCTGGAAATCTATGAAAATATGATGGAGAGTAACATCAAGTTCATGTGTCTTTTCCAACAGCTGTCTCAGGGCAAATACAGTTGTCGACCTTCCTTACCTGAATCCGTTTTGGTAGTCACGAACAATCATCTCCATGGACGTCTTCAACCTCTGACAAATCAAAGACGATAGAACTTTGGAGGCTACGCTAAGTAGGGTTATTCCTCTCACTCTCCAGTCTGTCTCCCTTTTTATGGATGGGACATATGGAGAACTATCCTTCCACCTTTAATAATATAATTATAAATAATAACTCAACACAGGGTGATATTAATAGAATATTACTCTAGGTACCTGTCACATTTATTGAATATCAAGTCACATAATTTTTTTATACAACTAAAAATGAATCTCAATTTATTCACTAAACAAACCATGTTGGAAGTTTTTCTAAAAGTGGGGCATCTGTAGTCCAGTAGGGGCATAAAACAAAATTGCAAATAATTCATGAGTTCATGAAAAACAGAAATTACCATAATTTAGCTGCTACATTAAAAATTTAAAGTTTCCTTTAAATAGTTTTTAAAAAAACACAATAAGACAAAGAAAACACCTTTGGAGTTTTTTGAGTTCCTCAAACTCTGAATATCCGCAGGAATCTGCCCCATAACATAGCTTGCATAGCAGAATTGCTGATTAATGTTTTTTCTTTTACTTATTAATAAAACATGATTTTTGACCAGTGCATTTTTTGCATTCTGGTATTTTATTTCAGATAATCCATTAAAGATAAATCACTTTTAATATTATGTCCAAGTATTCTATTATCTATTTATATTGACTTCCCGTCATATGACCACTATAATTTCCTATAAAGTTTTTACTTCATATTTTAGCATATTATTACTTTTAGATTCTGAAATTAATTTCAAAATTACACCTTTTACAATGGAACAGCAAACTCTTAACATATAATCATCGGCATGACGAAACTTCGTCATTTTGCAAACAATCACCAGTAGCAAAATGAAAAATTCGTCATTTGTATAGTACAGAAAATAATTGATTCTTCTCAGAGTAACACCAGTTGGACCAGATTCCTACGGATACATTGTATTTAAGCCAATAAATATATTATATTCTAATTTTTACTAGCAAGAGATAGAAATGTCGGCATTTTGTGAATGGCGGTGCAAAAAATTACTGCGTTAATTATTGCCACCTATTAGAATTTGATCTCAAACTCCTCAATCCACTAAATCATTATTAATAATCGAAAAAAAAATAAGTGGGTTTAGGAAGCAGCCTTGATTTAGGATTATTTCTTAACTGTATAATTGAGAAAAATCTTGAGCAGAGGTAAAATGCTAACCAATCAGATTTACTGAAGTGAGGTTATTGACAGTTGTAAAAATATACTACTACAATTTAATGATACATAGGTTAAATAATAAAATGTGATAGTTCATAAAATAGTTGTCATTAATAAACTAAATCCAATATTAACTACCTTTTTGGGAGCTCCAGTATTTCTAATGTTAGCAAGACTTACTCGTGGCAATGCTCTGAGCATTTTCAAGGCCTCAATAGAACCATTTTTAATGGCACTCATATTAAACCCGAGTAATAAATAATAAGTTAAGAAACTACAGCAATATTATCATTTGAATTAAAGGTGCTATCAAAGAGCCGATCGTGATCCCACGTTCAAGTTATCCATGGAACTATTACTGGTCGTTTTATTAGTATTTTGGATTAAGTTAAGATTGATTAACTTTAATAAATATCTTAAAGAAAGTTATAGATTTTGCTAATCAACACAATTTTATTATAACCACAAAAACATTACATTTTATAACCATCAAAACATCTGAACACATTATATTATTTACATATGATTCGGTTGTTTTTCAAATTAAATTAAATCATATGGTTTGTCCTGCTCCTACAGAACGAAAAAAAAACTGTTTTTTACATGTTTGAATTCAGCTTGAACGGCTGAAATTTTTTTCAAGCAGACCAACGGAATAAATCTCGATCTACCCACTTTGGCTGTATAATCAATTGGTTACCTATAAAATAAGCCCAACTTTTTCTCCTAAATGGAATTCATAAAGATGTTAAGCTCAATCAACAAACAATGCAAAATAGTTTTGATCGCAACTTCCTACTTGTTACTAAGGATGGACCTGCCATAAATTCGATACAAATATTTTGCTAGGCTTCAATACTGGGACGGTAGTAGGTCTGTAGATCGATACGTGACAAATTGGACCTTCAAGATTTTGATGAGTACAGCAGGAACGCTTTTAAGCCCAAAAACATACTATTTTCGAGTAACGCAAGGCATAGGGTTCGCATACACACAACTTTACGTTAATTGTAGTACTGTCATTGAATACATGTCTCATTTCTTCGACTTGAGCCATCTATGATCGAGAGAGGAGGAGTTTATATTATTTATCGATGGTGTTTTTTTGATCGGCAAGCCTTATCATCGTCAATTCTTCACCAAATCTCAAGATTGAGCCACCAATTTCGAAGGCTTCGTTCTGCTTAAGGCTGGCAAAATAGTCCAACCACCCCTAAAATTCAGGCAAACAAGTTATGAAAGAAAACAAATTTTATTTGCGAATAACTAAAAAATTACATACCTTTCTCTTGGTTATGCCCATGATTATATAAAAGATTACTAAATTATCTAAAAAAGGAAAAAAACAAAAGTAATCGAAATCGAATTTGTTTAGCTGCAGTATGCCTATTCCATTGCTGGTAGTATAGGTCTATTAAAATTTTGTTAACATTATTACTTATGTGGTGTACACTTGTTTGTGTGCACTTTTCTTTTCTTTCCTCCATTCTTCCACATTAAGCCGGTCCTCGAAGCAGCTATAGCTTGTCTTATCTTCCTTCTCTTCTTCCCGGATTAAAATGTGTGGGGCCTACCGCATCTTTCCACCAGTATACGAACTCCCTACAATGTGGGTAATTCTCTCTGCTCATTAGCTGAGGTCCCGTCTCTCTCAGGAGCTTTGCTGTTAGTACCTCATAGGCAGTGTTGTATGGATTATTATTGTTGTTACATATTATTTTAAAAACACGTGAGGTGGTACATTGTTGAAAAATATATTCTTTGATTTATTTGGGAACTTACTCAACCTTTGTTTTTGTCTAAACACAATCATTACAGGCAGTACATTCGACGACCACATGTTCGGCGGTCTTCGGAACGTTGCAGTTGGGGCATAACGGATCAATATTCTTCCCGTGTTTAACGAGCTTCGCTCGGAAGCCCCCATGTCCCGTGAGGAGTTGAGACACCCAGTAATCCGGGAGGACCCATCTTTCATCTAATCGTGACTTGACCGCGTGGAAGTACTTTCTTAGGGTAGCTCCCTTCGGAGTTACCATCCATCGTTGGTTCCATTGACCCATTGTGTCCTCCTTGATAATTCTTTTTCATCTTCTTCAATTCTCATCTTTAGATGTTCCAGTAGATCCGCTGAACCTTCTCTTTTCATTTTAAAGAAGTAATAGTCTTCTCGCAGGAGGAGATCGAGAGGTGTTCCCTCTGCCAGTATTTGCACTGCCTCATGAGATATCATTCTATAGGCTCTAGTAACCCAAAGTAAAGCCAATCTCTGAATTAATGCTAGCCTACTCTTCTGTCGGTGCGAGAGGTTTAGGTTCCAGGCTGGGGACGCATATGTCAGAATACCCAAAACTACTCCTTTGTATATAGTCATTGTAGCTGGGTATCTGAGACCCCAGAAGGCGCCTCCAACATGACTGAGTCCATTTAGGGCCACTGTGACTCTAGTTCTCATATAGTCCAGGTGAAGAGTCATGTTGAACTTTCGACCAATTTTAATGCCAAGGTAGGTGACAACCTTACTTGGACGTATCCTTTCATTATCTACTCTGACACCAAAATATCACCAGAGTATCTGGTGATATTTTGGTGTCATTCGTTCTGCTTAGACATGAGTAGCTTCGGGAGCCTGCTATCTTGTTTAGTTGAGAACACAGTAATTGAAAATGCTTTATATTCTTAACGAATATTAGTGGAGATCGGGGGTCTCTTGGTGTTGGTGCGGACTCCATTACCTCAGTCATTCTGAAGCACCTGATAGGGATTGTGTGTAAAAAAGGGGGATTCTTCAATTGTCACTTGTGATAATGTACCTGGTTGAGGCTAAAGTTCTTCAATATTCTCTTGTGGTGATGTACCTGGCTGGTTTTCATGTTCCTCGGAGCTAACAGGTATCATTGGCGGTGTTTGACGAGACTTACGAGGCTTTTGTTTGGCCAGAGAAGAAGATGCAGGTGTCAGGCCTAACGACCTAGTTCTCTTATTAGTCACTCTACTAGTGCTTTTCATAGTAATAATAAAAAAAAAAAAGATAAAAAAAAACTACATGTTGATAACTGTACACAGTAAATATCAACTTACTGGGATGTATTCTCAATCAGTTTTAAGTGAATAATAACAGAGATTCTTCTCAAAAAACAGTAAATAATGAGAGCTGAGTTAGAAACAAAACCTTGCTCATCAGCTGTCCTGCATATATAAATAATATTTTAACATATTTAATTGTGGATACATATATAAAATTTACAATGGAGATTGAGGAAGAAAATTCCATTACATTTTTAGATACAAAAATATACCGCTCTGGGAATGATATAAGAGTATCATGGCTTGAAAGAAAAAAAAATCATGGAGGTCAAATTTCAAATTATGCCACGATTTAAGTATAAAAATAAATACAGCGAAAAACCTTTTTCGTAGAGCCATTGCTCTAAATTAATTTTTATTTAAAAAAGAAAATATAAATAGAATAAAAGAAATATTGAAAGATAATAGTTGCCCTAAGAGCATAACTGAAAAGTGCCTGCAAGGAGCATTTGTCACTCCATCAGAATAAGTAGAACAGTCCAAAAAAATATTTTTCGAAAATAATTAGAAAATGAAAATTTTGTAGTTTATAGAATAATAATTAAGTGACCTAATTCCTAATTTAAATAAATAGGTTAAAAATAATACTCAAAGGTTGATTGAAGAAATTTTGTAAATATATATATATATATATATATATATATATATATATATATATAATATATATATATATATATATATATATATAGAGAGAGAGAGAGAGAGAGAGAGAGAAAATAGAAAATAACTTTATTCTGGGACAAAGTCTCTTTAGAATAACAAAGTAGAACATAATTAAAATACTACATCTGGCCAAAATAAAACATATATATTGAATTGAATTGTATATATTGTCTAGATTGTGTTCTGCAGTTTAACCTGCATTAAATTTAGATTATTCACACCTGTTTCATACACATAATGAGTACAATATGCAAGTGCATGTGATTAACTGAATATCATCCGAAATTAAAATTAAGTTTAACCTTACGTTTAATGACTTTTTACTAAAAAAAAAAAAAAAAAAGTTGTTCATTAACACTATATATTTGAAATATTTAAAGAAAAGGTGAAGTACTTCAGCAGCATAAACAATATTTCAATTTCTTTGTTCCTATGGTATGTCCTAATCAGTTACTATAGGCTGCCCCTCTCCTCCACTCTTCTTCTCTATTCCAGATTGATTAACTTCTATGTATTGATTGATTCCTAATTTATTAACACACTGCTCCATCCCTATTGATTTAAAACAAATCCTTTAGGTGAGGATTAGTAAGCCTAAAGCTTTCCTCAATAAACCATCAATCTTATACATAAATAATTTTAGTGAGTTGTCTGGAAAATAATGCAGGTTTTTGAGTTTTCTTTAAAATACCATTCTATATAACAAACTGTTTACATTTACTAAATTATTCATTTATTTGAATGTTAACACTTATTAATCCTGTTCCAAACGATAATGTTTGTTTACCTCTGTAGCATTTTGCTGCTTAGAAATAATTTATTCTTTACTAAGACGTCAACGCTTGGTTTTCAAATAATTTTGTTTACGAGTTTAAACTTGGCTGGAATGGGGTTCAGAAACATCAATCAATTCTGGGATGAGAGCAGCATTAATGAGTGCACTATTCAATGGTGGTTCAAATAATTCGGGACAATAAAGACAAAGGTCGTTGAAAGATTTCCACTCTGATGTCGATGTTCTAAATCAACCGTCGATGACGATCTCAAGGCGATTGGAAAAGTAAAAAAATAAATAAAGCTTGTGCTGCACTTCTTTGCCAAAACAAAAACGACCCTTTTGTGTCCAGAATTGTTACTTGAGATGAAAAGTGGATACTTTACGATAACAGTAGATGTTCTGGACAGTGGCTCGACCAAGGAGAAGCAGCAGAGCATTTTTCAAAGCCCCCAACTCATCACAAAAAGGTGATGATTACTATTTGGTGGGCTTCATTTGATTCGATACACTACAGCTTCTTAAATCCTGGAGAAACCATTAATGCCGAATCATATTGTAACCAAATTAATGCAACGAATCAGAAAATGGCAATAACGAAGCCATCTTTGGTCAATCGGAAGGGGCCCACAAAAACTGTTGGAGCTTGGAAATGAAACTCTGCCACATCCGCCCTATTTTCTAGATCTCTCACCTACAGATTATCATATTTTTATACACCTGGATCACTACTTATGCAATAAAAATTTAATGGACAAAGGGAATTAGAAAATGCGTTTTTGGAGTTTATCAATTCTAAAGATGGGAAATTCTATTCTGAAGGAATGGAAAAGTTGCCAACATATTGGCAGAAATGTATTGATAGTACTGGAGACTATTTTGATTAAATAAAACAGTTGCAAATCTTTCTTTTTAAACCAAAATTCTGCATTATTTTCTGGAAAAGCTAATGTAAGATGGTGAGGTAGTTTCTTAAATCAGTGGATTCAAATAAACAAGCTCTTCAGTTTTAAATATTATTACACAATTAAAAACAAATATCAATAATTGAATAGGTAAAGTATTATGAAGAGCTGTTTTTAAGTCACAGAAGAAATAGAAATACATTTTGTTTTTGTAATTTATCATAAATATTTTTGCTGAACATACTGTTGCTTTGAAAAGACAGAATTTCACGTCACAAAGCTTTTTAGAAAACTAAAGGTTGAAAGTTCCCTTCACATTAAATTAATTTTAACATTAAATCTATCTGTTTAAAAATCAATGTCTAGTTTAGAATTTGCATTTTTTGCTATTCAACAAAAAATGTGAGCATTTAAATTCACAAACTTTAAATTTATTCCTTCCTTGTTCAGAATTAGACTATAACTCAAAGAAATGTTTGTATTCTATTCAAGTTTACACTACTCCTTTAGGTTTCAGACATGATTGGGCAATACACCCTCAAAATATGATTTGTTAAAAAAAAAAAAATCCATTAAGTACTTCTAACATAATATGTATCAAGATAAAAGTCACTAATCACATTACTATTATCATTATCAATTTTATTCAATTCACGAGTCATAAACTTTTTTTTTCAAAAATTGCTATTCAGTTTAACTTGATTTTATTTTACATTATATAGGATTTATTCTTATACATTCATGACATTTAAAATAAAATAACATAATTGTATATACACAATTGAAATTACAAAAATCAGATCGTTTATACAATATTTATTCCTATTTAGAGTTAATGATGATACAATAACCATGGTACATAACATAAAATAATTTCACCATCCTTACAATAAAACTCAAATAATAGAAAAATTAAAGTAAAGAATTTAATAAATACAAAATATACTTTAAACGAACCAAAATCAATAAATAAACACATCATGTACCATACAAATAACTGTATATATGTTCCAAACACCCAATGCAACTGTAATGGAATTATAAAATCAGTCAACAATTAAAATAGTAATAATTAATAAATAAAGCATTCTAAAATTACAAATATACTTTTCTTTGGCACTCCTTATTAAAACAGTGCTTTCTTCTCTCTTAAAGAAAATAATGTTTTATTTTACAATTTTTAACATTACTCTAGTTCATTTTTAACTAAATTTAAAATCTAGATGTTAACATTCAAAGACTAGGGTATCAATTAGTCTCATTAAGAGATTATTATCATTGGCCTTTTCAGTCGGTCTGTAAATTACCAAGAAATAAATTCACAGATCACAAGTTCGCAAAGATTCATGTTTCATAATTTGTGATTACCAGAAAAATCACTCTATTTTATAGTTTATTTTACTCAATGTTATTTCACCTATGTTTCTTCTAAGTTGTAATTCCATGACCATTTATGTAAATGATTTACATACATTATAGTACATATGCTTTATAATACAAATTAATCCTTCACAATGTCAGAAGTTGGATGATACAGCAATAGTTCAAAAATTAGTGCATAATACAAACTTCTAAAGTAACATATTAAATAATTAATAAGTTATTAATTAATTTATAATAAAAACTATAATTTGTAAAAATGTTTTAACCTCCTTTGTTTTAATACAGATGGTAATGAAGTGATTTAATAATTTATTTTTCTATTAACTTTTAATATAACTATTTTAAAAAAAGTAGTGTGGATCAATTTAAAAATAGGCTAAATATAAATTATAAATTAAATCTAAAAGAATAAATTCTGTCAAAATAATTAATCATTTCTTTCCATCCATATCTTTTCAATGATGAGCTCAACATCTGTATATGGGTATCAACTTTATGACACAGATGCAATATAAAAGAATATTTGAAATTGAATAAACTAACTACCGCATACAAATGAATTGGCAATACTATTCATAGGCTAAGTACTGCATAAATTTCATACATATAGTTTGAGCCATTCATTTCATTTTCATAGGGATTTTAATGTTATATATAAATTATTTTCTAATCTAAAACAAAAAAGATAAATTTTAACATTTGATTGCAAAAATTGAAAATAATCAATCCAATCCAACCAACATAATTCAGTAACATATAAAAAATAATCATATAAATCTATATATAAAAAATCAGGTACAAACTAATCTTATATATTTTGGTTTTATCAACTGTAACATAACTATAAGTAACATAAGTAAGCTCAGCTTAAACAATAACAACAAATTAATCGAAATTATTTAAAATTAGAATCTCTTATGTAAAAGAACTATTTAAAACAAATACAAACATTTAAATACTATGGAATGGATTTTTTTTTAAGTCAGTTAATTAACATATAATTGTGGAAGTAAATCCAAAGTGAACCGTGATTTTTATTTCTCTAGTAATTTCTATATCACATTTCACACAAAGTTCTAAGATAAGGCAAAACCTTTAGGAGGTAGATTATTAAAATCAGAAGATTTTCTTAACAAACCTTCTAAAGGCTCCAACCTTCTTAGGTTTGGCAGTTTCACTGCAGATGGATAATGCCTCTTGGCTCGACGAAGTCTGGGTCTGAGATGACCTTTTTCCCCTTGACCACATTGCTGTCTTAATGAAGTCTGGTCCTGGGTCCAACGGCTTCCACTCTCCATCACTCCCGAGTACAACTACATCGCCTCCCTTCCTTCTTCTTTTCCTCTTACGCACTCCCTCTCGTGAAATTTTTCTTTTGGCCCCTTCGGTTAATAAATCTAAATGGGTGCCACCTGACAAAACAAATATATACTGAATAATTAATATTTAATTATATAATATATTTTAATGTATTATATAAAACTAACAATTAATTACTTAAGACTAAAAATTGTTTTAAGAGACTTTAAACTACTGGAAAGTGATCAGCTTATTATTATTTAAAAAATTATAAATTAATATCAGAGGGATGCGAATATATCGATTTTTTTTTTCAAGATCCAGAGACGGTGCTGTGTAAACAACGATGCGAGGTGTCAACTCGATTACGATTCATGGCAAAGGTTATAGACTCACTACAGTTTACTTGCAATCAAAAATTATTAAAAATATTGTTAGTGAATATTTAATTTCACATTTTACTTAAAAATCTTGGAAAGGAAAAAATTTTATTTTTAGTTCATGATATTACTGTTTCTTCCAACTTCTAAAACTTACGAAATATGGTAATCTATTGTTATAAAGTGGAAAACATCGGTTTATCAGTTATTTTCTTCGGCTTGTGTGGTAAGTCTTCTGGATTTAATAAGTGAAGCAGGATATACTCGGGCTCCTGCCAAACATTGCGTGTAGATCGACCGAATAACAGGTAAGAAGAAAGTGATTGCAAGAGTGGCATTGCTCAAATCAAGCTACGTCAGCGTTTTCTAAGGCAAGCTTCATCATATCCACCTGTAATAATTGACAACATATGTTCAAAAACTATTGACGTAATCTTGAACTATACTAAGAGAAAAATTCATTCGGTAAAATACTTTATAGTTCAGTGGCGCACTGGAGAGAGAAAAAAATGTAAAATAAAATACGGTTGTTTCAAATATATCTACTTTTTCAAGTACCAATAATCGGGGAGTGTAGTGACCAAGCAGGATGCAGTGTTATCAGCACTGTGTTCACGGGCAACGTGATATAAGATAATGTGATAAAAATAATTACGAGTTCTCCTCCCAATGCCGGGGCCTTTTAACTCTGGCATTGATATCCCGCCCTTGTCCTCTTGTTCGGGAAAACTCCGTATAGCATAAATGGCGAGGAAGAGGAGGAGGAAAATAGATTACTCAGATATTAAAATAGATTTTGGCCCCTTCGGTTAATAAATCTAAATGGGTGCCACCTGACAAAACAAATATATACTGAATAATTAATATATTTTAATGTATTATATAAAACTAACAATTAATTACTTAAGACTAAAAATTGTTTTAAGAGACTTTAAACTACTGGAAAGTGATCAGCTTATGATTATTTAAAACATTATAAATTGTCAAAGATGAACCATTAACTTTATACCTTTATAATTTGATACTAGAACATTTAGATAAGTACAAGAAGAAGAAGAACTCAATTTTTTTATATGAAACTAATGTGTACACATCAATGGTGGTATACTTTTATTTACCAAGTAAGAAATAAAAATATAATTCAAAAATTGAATCAACAAATAGTATTCTAATTTTAAAAGTTTTAAAATTTAAATCTAAAAAGAATTTTAAAATTTCTGATCTTCTCTGATCAGATATAGTATAAGAACTGGAGTAATTAGATATTCCTAATTATTCCAGGTCTTATGCTAAAAATTAATTTTATAATAGTGTAAAGGGAACTAACATGCAATACTGAAATAGATAAACAGTCAATTTCAATTCATTGCATCATTTTACAAATGTTTTCTGTTGTATAAAAGTATGCAGCCGTTCGCATGCAAAGTATTAAAGTTGTTGAAAATGCTTCCTGAACACACCTAGAATGCATACCTGATGGAAGACATGCCTCTTCTGACGGTCTCCTTACAGCGTTACGTTTACAAGGTTCTTCAGCACTATGCCTCCTCATCACTGGGGGCTGCTGCTGACGATCTGGCTCCTGAGGAGCTGACCCGCCAAGCCTCCTCCAAACCCAGACCACTGCTACAAAGCCAAATACTTCTAAAATAACTATCAGCCCATGCTGACCAAGGACAGAGACCTAAAACAAAGTACATATGTTCACAATAACGTTAGATATAGTTTTATTTTATTTAGTAGATAAAAGTAAATTACACAAATTAATTAAATTTAAGACTATTTATAAGTGATATCCAAATGTTAATGATTTGAATAGAGACAATTAAAATGAATAAAGAGAATTAAGACAGTAAATAAAATCTGAGATCAATTAAAATTCAGAAATATTTTTAAAAAATCTATAAAATAAAAGGAATGTTATTCACTAGTACTAAATAGAGAATATATGATATCATTTCTTCTTATCCCTAATATTATCAAAGTATAAGTGATATTAAGAAAATATGTTAAATTACATTAACAATATATTCTTTTCTGGACACATTTAGAGAAGCTAAATATAATTTATAATGAATATGATAAAATATCAGGTTTCTTAATAAGTTGTTAGCTTGTTCCACTGGAAAAAATCCCTTTAGTTTAAAAGTTAAGCAATTAGACTCAGCTATTCTAAACTAATAATAACGCAATATCACTCGCTGTGACATATTTGACCCATCGGAGGTTTGTATATCCTTGCCATTTAATTCTCTGAGTAATTAAGAGTGGAGCATATAATCCAGACCTGGATAAGAGCTTCAGTGTTTTGGCAACATTGACAACCAAGAAAATTAAAATGTGCCCTCCTTTATTATCTGAGGTGCTGAAGAGATCTTAGGGCTATTTTCCATTGTAACAATTTCAATATATTTTTAGAACACCATGAATCATAATAAACAACAATATTCTAATTTTTAAAAACTTAAACAATATGCGATGTGTCTCATGACAATCAAGGAGTGTATAGCTATGCTAAAACCCATCTTACCATTGTCTGAGTATTTATACAACACATTTTTAAATCACCTTTATTACTTGTAGTAGAAGTTTAAGGATCAATATTTACAAAGGAAGGAGATGGTCCGTGGTTGTGGTCATAAATAGACTACTTAGTGGTAAAAACTATTTTATTTTATTTTATTATTATTATTATTATCTCTTTATTTTCCACATATACAATGGTGTTTAAATTATGTAATAGTTGGGGACCTTTTAGGTCAGCCAAAAATTACATTTGTATATTTTCTTAATTATTTTATATTTGTGAACTTCCTGACAATATTTGCTGTTCCCAACAACACCGCTTGTTGCATTCTTTCGATCGTCTGAGATGGTAGTTCTAGTTGTCGCAGAGAAGATACAGTTTCTTCCGGTATCAGTCCGTTGCACGAGATTACAATTGGCAGAATTCGGGTTTCCTTCAAATGATATAATTGTTTGATCTCTTCAGCCAATTCTACGTACTTTCTCTTTTTTTCCGCTACTACCTTGTGTAGGTTATCATCAGAAGGAACTCCAATCTCTATGATAAACGCAGATTGCTTACCTTTATCTATTATAAGAATGTCTGGTCTATTGTGGGGGATGGTGTGATCCGTCAGGATCGGTTGATCCCAGAACACCTTGACATTGTGCATGGAGTTAATTGGTTCTGGATGGTATTTATAATACGGACAATACTTATCGACGAATTCCATTTTCTGAGCCATAGTTTGATGCACTACCTTAGCTGCATTGTTGTGTCTCTGCAAGTATTCCTTACCCGCAAGTATTGTGCATCCCGATGTTACATGTTGAATTGATTCAACTGCCTTTTTGCATAAGCGACATAAGTCATCGATGCCCTCTCCACATATATGTTTTCTGTATGCTTTTGTGGCTATTACCTGTTGTTGAATAGCAAACAAGAATCCTTCTGTTTCCGGAAAGACACTTCCACTCTTCAGCCATGTCAATGACGCCTCAGCGTCCACTCCTACATCCATTAATGAGTGATAAAACCGTCCGTGTAAAGGTTTATTTTTCCATATTTCTGATCGAGTGCCATCATCTGCTTCACTAATCGGGATTCCAGGGCTTCGTAAATTCAAAGCTGTATAATTTATATCCAATGATGCGATAGTTGAAAGGATATTGGAAGTATGGTTAATAATGTAGTTGCGAAGATTATTTTTTTCCTTTCGACATAAATTCAAGAGGCTGATTAGACCACGCCCTCCCGACTTCCTAGGAAGATACAATCTCACTACAGATGACTTTGGATGCCTCTTCCTTGAAAGCACCATCTGTACTCTAAGAAAACGATCCAACCTTTCTAAATCGGTTTTAGTCCACTTCAGTACCCCAAATGAGTAGGCTAAAGCAGGTATTGCCCAGGTATTCAATGCCCGTATCAAATTTCTTCCACTTAAATGTGATTTAAGTACTAATTTAACACGGTATTTAAATTCTTCCTCAAAGTTTTTCTTTGAATTAGTATTGAATTTCAGAAGTTGGTGTACTCCAAGGTACTTGTAAGAATCAGATTCTCTCAATTGATTCATTATTACATTTTCCGATATCTCAATATTACTCCCCTTAATAACTCTTCCTCTTTTCACGTGTACTATTGCACATTTATCTATTCCTAGATCCATTTTTATATCATTACTGAACGTTCTTACTGTCTTCAGAAGAGCTTCTATTTCGTCTTCATTCCTAGCGTAAAGCTTGAGGTCATCCATATAGAATGAATGAGAAAGCTTCATTTCAGAGTTAAGTAGGTACCCTTTATCTGTATCAGCCAATAATTTGCTAAGTGGATTAAGCGCCAAACAAAACCACAGAGGACTAAGGGAGTCCCCTTGAAAAATACCTCTCTTTATAGATATGTATTCATTGGAACTCATTCCATTCAAAGTTGGTGTGCTGATTGAGACCCTCCAAATTTTCATCAGTCGTTCTAATAGATCTATTATTGCCTGGTTTACTTTATAGATTTTCAACACTTCCAGAAGCCAATCATGGGGAACCGAATCGAAGGCTTTACGGTAGTCGATCCAAGACAATGTAATATTACGAGATTTTTTTGTAACTTGAGCAGCAATAAAAGAATCGATAATCAGAAGTTCTTTGCAACCTGCCTTAATACCTAACTGTTCCGCTGCCATAATACCCTTTTCCTCAATGTAATCTGTCTTATTCCTGATTACAGCCGTTAGTAATTTGTACAGACCATTAAGACAAGTTATGGGTCTCAAATCATGTGGCTCCAGCCTGTTTTTGCTTCCTTTCTTTATTAAGTGAGTCGTACCGGTACAGAACTTCGCTGGTAAGTCAATCTCTTCAGACAATAGTTTCTGATACCACACAGCTAGGTGGCTATGAACACTGCTAAAGGACTTTAGCCAGTAATTTTGTATTTTATCTGGACTAGAAGCTTTCCAGTTTTTCGTTTGCTTGAGTGCCTTAGTCACATCTTCCACAGTGATACTGGTTGCTTCCATAGGTTGGAGATCTGATAAGCCATGGCGAATATTTTCCAACCAATTTGCTTCATTGTTAAAACATTTTTTACTTTCCCAAATACCTTTCCAATACTCTGATATTTCAATATTTTATTATTATTATTATTTTTCAACACTTTTACAAAAGGTTTTTTTTTTTTGTTTACTTGAGAGGGGGAGAATCAACTTGAGTTTTTGATGGGTGATTGCATTTTAAACCTTCTGCCAGGCCTTCCTAGGTAAGGTTGCCCTAGGGTGTGTACTGCAAATGTCCTTGGTGTCAGTGTATGTGGTATTGTGTACTGTGATGTATGTGTTTGTGAACGGTAGGATGTACTCAGGATCCCGGGGGAGCGTAAAACCCCAACTGCGTTCATCAGTTGCCCTTGCGGGATTGAATATTTTCCAACCAATTTGCTTCATTGTTAAAACATTTTTTACTTTCCCAAATACCTTTCCAATACTCTGATATTTCAATATTTTATTATTATTATTATTATTACCACCACTAAGTAGCCTATTTATGAACGCAACCCCGGACTATCGCCTTCCTTTATAATGCAATGGTCAACTATTAAATATTCAATATGGATCAATATTTACATTCGTCATCTCTCTATGAAATTCTTCTTTTGACACATTTTTGTCTATATTCATCACTCCTGAGAACCGGTAAAGGGATCTATACTATTGGATTACATAAATAGTATATGATTAATTAATTTTATAATAGACATTCAAACAACTTGCCTTGGTAGACCAACTATCCCTCTCTGTTACGAGTTCTTCTAAAGCATTTGATAATGTTTCTACTTTGCGGGTCAGAACAGCTAACTGGGCAGTTTGCGTACTCTCTCTCTCTGCAGCCAATCTTCTGTCTTCCACCATATTTCCAAGAGTTCGCTGTAGCTCTTCTACCTGCTTCTTATATCTTCTGGAAAGCTCCTCGAGATACTGACTTGAGAGAGACATATTTACTTCTAAAGCCTATAAAGTAATGGGGAAGTTAGTTAAATATGCTAATATTACAGATTATAATATGCCTATAGAATGAAAACAAATAACAAACCTTTATTCTATTTGCTAGACGTACAAAAACTGATTCTTTCTGAACTGGGACTGCTGTAGCCGTTTTGGTTTCTTCAGGTTCCTCTTCTGATTCAGGGAAAAGAGAATCTAAAGCAAGTGAATCAACTACCGGTTCATCAGTTGTTGGTTCGATAATGGGTTGAGAATTGTTTGTAATGATAACTATTAAAAAAAAAAAAAGAAAAGGATTTGTAATGATTTTCACTAAAAAATCAAATATTATCTATAAATTGATAAATTGGAAATACCTTGATCAATTGTCTCATTCTGTGTAACTTGTGGTGTTGGTGAGTTTTCTGTTGGAGTTAGGTCTGGTTCATTTATTTCGTCCTTAGTTTCATTTAATATAGAAACAGTCTCCGAAATAACTTCATCCATTGTTACAGATTCTGAAGCAACCACCTTTGTAGGTTGTATGACAAAAGTTGTTTCTTCAAGGGTACTCATATCTTCTACAGGTGTATTACTAATATTATTTTCTAATTCGTTATGGCTTTTAATTGATGATTCTTCCTCAGTTACATTCAAGATTACTTTTTTTCTACTTACAGCTATATAATTACACAAAGCAGCAATGATTTCCCTAAAACCAAAAAAAAAGTATGAGTTCATTTCAGTTTTGATAAAAAAAAATCTAAAGCAGATTTTAGAAAACATATTATAAGTCTATTGTTTATTTAGAATAAACAATTAATTTTAAAATTTAGCATTCTAAAATTAACCAATTTTATTCTCAAGCTTTGTTTTTTTACCATCACTTCTTGGAAGAGATGATCAGATCAAAGGATAATAATTATACAGGTATTTAGTGTATATTAAAAAAAGAAATTAACATTGTAACCCATTATATTTTATTAATAACACCCTTCCTTTCGTAGTGATACTTTAATGTTATACAAAAATTATTTAAATTCCTAGTATTATTTATAGTATATGATGTTTTAAGAAATAAATATTGAGATTTGAAGGAACTTTACTTTCTTTATTTTTTGTTACATCACATCTTATTTATATATTTTTATAATTGTAACAACTTAAATATATATTTATTACTAATGAAATGCAAGAGCTGTTAATTGTTTTTCATCTTTGATGAGATTAAACAATAACAACCACAAATGATTTTGAATTATGAATATATTTTACCTAGGCAGGAGTGCCCTGAGGTAAGCCACCTTGGGTGACCAAACATTAGTGGAGGAGCTTAAAGGAATTTTTGGATCATCCCAACTGAGGCCGATTTCATTACAAAGCTGGCTGTCAGATATTACTGAATTCACATAAGGGTTCGCCAATAAGCATTGAATTTCTGTTCCACGACAGCAAAGGATTTCATAAAGTCTGGAAATAAATATAAGAAAGTTATTGACAATTAGTTATACATAGGAAAGAAAATAACACAAATAATATTTATTCCCTACATTGAAATGGTTGTCCTAAAATTTCAATGTACTAAATAATTGCCTTCAATAATAGTTCATATCATTTATGTGTTTCTTCATACAATGCATTTTTTTTTATAAAACAGAAATAAAACTTTTTTTAAATATAATGCTTAAAATCATTTTATTCTGTATTTCTTTTTGGTGACTATGAAAAAAAAATAATTGTTTTTTAACTAAACATTCAATCTTGATGACTTCATGTAAATTAAACTTGTTAATTAGTGGCATTATGCTAAAGACCAGTTCTGGATATTCCACTTGTAATAATTTTATTAAACAATCCGATGTTTAATACTAGTTCACTAGCCCTTATAGTGCCATAACATTATCTAATATAATAAATAAGTAAAATGCAAAACATACTTGTCATAAAAATCCTCAGAGCAGTTGTTGCATACGATTTGGTAACTCGGAGTAAAACAGTGCCTGTGCTCTGGAGGTCCAGATTGACTGCACACTGCACTATGGTTTCCAGGCGACTTTACCAAAACTTCAGCGGCTTTCTTGACGATACTCATAACAGCTGCTTTTGCAGACCCAAATAGATTACTATTTCCATTTTCAACTTCTTTATTTTCATGTTCTGCAGTTTTATTTATTTCCAATTCCTCGAGAAGATCTCTTTTCTCACCAACATTTTCTTCATCATTGATTTCATCAGGTTCATTGTCATCACCATCAACATTTTCCAAAACCTGTACAAATTGCCAATGAATTTATTTCCATTCTAATTCAAAAAGACTATCTAATAAAAAATACAATTTTTTTTTTTGTTATTTTAAATTTGCCACTGCGTTGGAACGCATCAAGCAAATGTGTTGGCGTTAATTATATCTTCATGAATTCCTGATATCTTCTTAACTTTTCAGCAGATCTCTAGGCCACTGCCTTTTTAGTCGTCTTTGAGAAATTTACAATTGTATTACATAGAAAATACAATAAGTAAATGTGACATTGGAAACATGCCATGTACAACATGAAGGGAAACTACCCATTGGTAGAACTCAAATTAAAGTTCTATATTAGAAGGTTCAGAGGCCATCTTCTTTTCAGACGCCTCGGAGGGTCATCAGGGATCAAGGAGGAAGCAAGGTTTGAAACGAGAGGATTAGGATGGTTCTGCAGTTTGTTATGGAAGGATAGGTATCTGGATTGGGCCAAATCGGAAACATATGGAACATTAAGGTTTTTATGGATGATTTTATTTGTGACAAAGTAAGGAGCGTTAAGAATTTTATGAAGGATTTTGGATTGTAAGTATTGAATACGAGTGGCATTTGATGGTTTAGTGGAGCCCCAAAGCTCAATTCCGTAAGTCCAAATAGGTCTTATTATTGTCATATATATGAGTCATTTGTAATTGATTGAAAGCTTAAAGCGTTTGTCTAGTAAGTGCTGCAGTAGTCGAAAACATCGGGCAGTTTCTAGTAGTTTCAGTCTGGTATGGGGGTTAATTTTTAAAAAAATAAAAATTAAATAAATCAGCAATCAATTATATATTAGAAAAAATAATTTTGAAATATGTTTAAAACTAGTGATATTTCACAGTCAGATTAAGAACTTTTAAGAAGAGCTTGCTTGCAACAATCATTAAGAAGCCAAAGAGCATATTGTAATTAATGAAATTATTTTTTGTTAATCTAATATCATAAATATAACATAAAATTTTAGCTACATCAATATTTCAGGTAATACAACAACTAGTTTTGCCACAAATACTGTTAAAAGTTAAACTTTGTTTACATTCTTGGGTATTATTTAGATAATCTTTACCTCTATCAGATTATTTTCTTTACATGGCAGGATAATAATCCCAATCAGTTTGTATTTTTCTTTCGCTCAGTTAACATGGAGTGGAGTGATAAAGAAAACCGAATAGCTGTGATCACCTTATCCAAAGTTAGAAAATGTAGGTCAGCCATATGTTCGTTTACCACACTATAAATAGATATAATGAGATCCTATCTGTATGTGACAGACCTTGTCCCCGAACTGTGAGAACGGCAAATGCAGTGAGAGCAGTGGCTACTCAAATCAGAAGAAATCCTATTTGAAACAACAAATCATGTCTCGGGAAATGGGAATCTCTGTCAGATCAATGTTTCGCATAATGAAAAGTGACCTTAGGATAGGTGCATTTTGAGGAATGACAGAACAAAGGCTAACCACTTTCCTAAAAAAAAAAAATAGATTGGATAGATGCTCCTTGGCCGTTACACAAACGATCTTCATCGAAATATTTTGTTTAGCAATGAGAAAATGTTTGCAATTGAAAAAAAATTAATCACCAAAATGATCGTGTACACAAACAGCTCTGAAGAAGCCCAGGAAGTCATTGGAAGAGTGGAAACAGGTCATCACTCTTCCTCAGAGACAGTTTAGTAGGGAGTTTGCTTTGATGACACTACAAAACTCCATTTTTGTGAAAAAGGAGTTAAAAAAGCCACTAATACTATCAGGAAGATATTTTAGAACCTGTTGTCAAGCCTCTAAATGATGCTCTGTTTGCTGGAAGTCATTGGGTTTTCCAGCAGAATTCCACTCCAGCTCACAAGGCTAGGTCAACTCAGCAGTGGCTGCAAAAGAACATTCCAGAATTCATCTCTGTCTCGGATTGGCCCTCAGGAAGCCCTGATTTCAACACACTAGATAATCGGCTTTGGGCCGAACTGGAGAAGAGAGCACATCCTAACTTGGAAAGCCTCAAACAATCTCTGGTCTGAGCAGTAGAGAGCTTTTCTCAAGAAGTGCTGCATACTGCTACAGATGACTGGCCGCAGAGATTAAAGCCTGTGTCAAGGGAAAAGGGGGAAATTTTGAGTAATTTCTTTTTTTTGTTTTACTTTCTTTCTTTTACTTTCTTTTTTTACTCTCTATAGATATACATTTTATATTCTAATAAAGTTTTTGAAAATTTAAATTTTTCTGTTGAAATCTGTATATATTTCCTTGTAACAATATTTATGACAGAACTAGGTGGACTGTGGTAGAAGATTGTATGTTCTATGTTTTCTACATTCCACTACTATTTTGTATTATTGTCCAAGTAAAAAATATAAGTTATGTCTAACTCACCATCTTACGTACCTCTGAAACTATTTGAATTTAACTTTTTGTATTACACCGAACATAATTTTACATTAATAAATTTAAAAACTAATTTTTTTCAAATTCATATAAGCAAAAAAATAAAGTAAAAATAATTAATAAAATAAACTTAACCTAATTTATAATTTAATTATCAACATTACCTCAAGTTCTGAAGTTCCATAAGCCTTAAATAGAGAAATTGGACAGTAATGTTCACTGCCATAATGAGAATGAAGTTCCACTTTTATATATTTGACAAAGTGTGAAATTCTAGGAAGCTGAAAACTCTGAACAGTCCTTTCATCTTTGGCAGTGAGAGCACTTGTTTGAGCCCATTCACGAGAAGGGAACCTGTCACTTGTAAAGACGGAGAGATCTTGAGGAGATGAAGAGAACAATTCAAAATTTGCAATTTCGATCTAAAAGAGGAGGAAATCATTAGTAAAGATGATGGCTTAATTAATGTCATAATGTTTTGAGGAATAAAAATAATGTATACCCTCTGGGGTTGGATAGGTTCACAAAGCTCAACCACAAACCAAATCTTAACATTACAAGGATTTAACATGTAATCATCCCTTGTCGAGGAGAGAATCGCTGAAGGGCTTGCTGCTTCCGGATTGGCTGCAATTACTTTTGCACCACAATCAGGTGATGCATAATTCTTTATTCTTAACTTAGCACCACCACTCCCTACAGTCAAGTTTTCACCTAAAACAGAAAGTAGGAAGGAATATTTATTTAAAACAAACAAAACAAAATAACAATATTAACCTATGAATGGTCTTGGATTCTATAAGTATAGAAGTGGTAAAGAATTACTATTACTAATTACTAGTACTAGGAGGAAAGCCAACGGTTGTGCAGGAAGGTGATTAAGCTGAGATCGCGCTCAACCAACAGGTTTTCCCCAATTTCTCCAGGCTGAATAGGCCACAGAAGGTTCTCCTGACCCCATGCTTGATCCATGGCTAATGAAACAGAATAAATAATCATCTGCCACAGCCGAACCTGAACTTGGGTATGGTTTATTCAATTTAAAATAAAAAGTTATAAAATAACCAGTCATATTCACAATATTGGTATAGTATTTTCAATATTCCATTAACAATTGATATCCGAATAAGAGTTTTAAAGAAAAGTAAATAAATTAAATATCCTTTTTCATCAACTCTCAGCTTGGTGCTGTTGCAGTGTGAGGGTGCTCCTGCAGAGCTTGGACCTACTTTATCCTCTCTTGTCAGTTCTCTTCTCTTTCAATTTATTTCTCTAGTAATAAAGGCTTCTTTTTACGTCCTGTGATTGTTATAAATTCCACAGATATGCAGATATTTTCTATTTCTATGGTATAGTTTTTTAATAACCATCCTTAGTACCAAATCCACTTAAAACTCATCTGAGGTCTCAACTAAGTCTTCCTTTCCTGTTCAGCTGAAGGCTTTTCTCAATTGCAAATATTTAATTATGAAGATAAGGCCTCTTTGATTGGAGAAACCTCACTGCTCCTCATCAAAACTACTGGCAACTTTTATTTTTAGCCTTTTTCTTTTTCTTTTTTTTTTCCAAAAAATGTGCTTTATATTGCATGAGACATTTAAGAAGGAAATAACTATATGGATTAATTTCTGTAATTAACTATATTTATTAAATTTGTAACTAACTATGCTACTTATATTTTTGTAATTAATTCAATTATAAGTTATAAGATGTTTTATAATAACTTATAATTTCGGACATGATAAATTTGAGGGTTAGCTTTTTCCCTTTTGGATCAATTTAAACATTCTGTAGAAGAGTTTTTGATTTTGATTAAAAGTTTCATATTTTTTGCTAAATTCCTCTCATGTCTTTCTAATTTCCTGGTTCACTGCTGTTTTTACTATCTTTTGTTAATTCTTATTTATGTGGTTTCTATTCCACTAGTTTTTTGAAGTCAATGCAATAATATTTTCATTAAGCTCCTTTCTGTTTTAGTTCATCCTCTAGTAGTTCCTTTGACTACCATACTATAAATATAAGACTATCAGTTCTGCCATAACCACATATGTGACCCACTGTAGAAAGGATATTTCTACAGAGTGCAAACCAGCAATGCTTGATATCCATCATACTAATCTTTCAACCGCTTTCTGGAATCTTTTTTGTAAGAAAATTATAAAGATTAGTTAATAATAATTTAAAATACTCCAATAATTGTTTGAGATTTTTTAAATTTTATTTTATTTCAATTTTCCAAACTCCTTTTCAGATTATTTAACAAAAAATATTTCATGACAAAGAAAGATTAAATTTAAAAGAAATTGAATATTTTACCTTTATTCCTTCCCGCTTCAGCCATATGCTTTTTGGCCCACTCACTGAAGGAAGGTATATCGTCAGGGGTGGCGGGGGCAGTCATGTTGACCGTAGCCTCTGGAGGCGGTGATTCGGGGGCGGTGACATTGGCTGCCTCCTCCACCAGCCGTGGTGCCGGCTCAACCGGAGTTCCTACATCCCTAAGAGCAATAAAATAAATAATAAATATAATTTATAATCAACAATTTATAAATCACTAATGAGAACAAAATTATCCTTCAGAGGAATCTATTAAAACTTTATTCATATAAAGCCTTAATTGCAAATTAGTATATTTTGAAATAGGTAAGTTTAGGATAATGAAAAAAAAAAAAAAAAAGAAGTCCTCTAAACAGTTGTAAAGCCATATCAAAATCAATTTAAGTAAAATCTAGCTCAAAGGTAAACTCCATATCCAAAACTCACATTACCCGAAAGATTTTCTCTCATTATTAATAAAAGCAATTCATTAAAAAAAAATTATTCGTTATTAATAGGATGGCAACCATAACATGTTAGCATTTTTATTTTAATTAAAATCAAGAAGCATTAATTTATTAACAGATTCAAAGGGAGAAAAGACTACTTGCAAGACTATTTCATCAACCAACACCAGTACCAGTACCAGTATTTAATGGTCGCAGAAAAGTAAAAGCATATACGTAATCCGTATCTAAATAAAAATTAAACGAAATTCTACTTCCAAAAAACTCCCTCTAGACTTTACAATCTTAGAATATTTTTGATATTTTATACGAACGTAATTCAGTATTTCCTTTAACAAGATAATTTTGTGCATTACCATAACGGAGACACAATAGGTTGATAACATGACTCCAATAAAATATCTTATTTCAATTCTATTCAAACAAGTGACCTTCTTTGCTTGAAATTTCATAGCCCATTCAATGGAAGAAAGGACCAGAACGAAAATGCAACCCTGTCATGGTAATGCACCCAGTAATAAAAAAAAAAAAAATAATACACCAAACCACTTGTTGCTTCCTTGCGAGTATTTTTTTAAATATAAATTAATATTAGTAAAGTGTAAAATGATTACAATGACTATTATTTTAAATAAGTAAAATCATCTACATTTGTTTAAATGTTTTTACGCAGATTTATGAGATGGGTGGTGACATCGATGACAATATGCAGAAGTTAGTTGCTCAAAAGGAAAGGGGATATTAAAAAGTTCCTGCAGGAATAAAATAACTTTAAGGATTGGAGAGTTGTGAGAATTCTCCGATTATAGCCTTTTGCAATGGCTTGATCATGACGTGCTTGCTGGATTCCATCCAGAGTATGGAGTTTTTCATGTCAGTACTAACAGAGGTTCAACGAGCAACACTTTCAGTAACATCTGTGATAACATCATTAATCATAACAAAACAGAGCCAAACCCTTGATTCCCTGAGTTTTGATAGGTTAATATTCTGAGGAAAGAGTTAGGAGTACGAAATTCTGGAATAATAATAATTATTCAAAGAAGCTGACGAGATAAAATGACATGAACTGGATAAAGAAAACTTATAAACAAATATTTTAAACTAATAACGTAATAAGTAGTGACATTAAATAGCCTAATTTCAAATTTATGAATTTTTAGCAGTCTCTAAAGCCAGTGATATTCCGATAACGGATTAAGTTCATTCTGAAGAAATGATTAAAGATCTAAAGTGTAATATATGAAAAGTAAAAAATATACAAGATTTTAATGGTTTTAATATATATGAAGTGATGGATGTAGCGCGCGAGAAATATGGCTCGTGTGGACGTGAACCATGGGGTTATTAGTGAAAAGAAAAAAAGAAAGAAAAAATGAGAGAGATGAACCGTTTTTAGGAAAGATACAGCTAGTTGCATTTTGTAAAAACATTATATTTTATTATATGGAGTGAACCGTAGTAATCGACCAAGGATAAATAAATTAATTTCTCTATTTTATAATGCATTGAATTTACTTTTTTTATATATTATAGTGCCACTTGTTCACTGACCAATATATTATTCGAGTCGACTTCCTCCCCTTCCTGGCTGTACGATTTTTTTTTTCCGTACAGGGTCGGGGGGTTATTGTCAGAGTTAAAAGGCCCTCTCCCCCAGACGCCAGGATTTTAACACGTAAACTTCGGTTTATCCACAGGTTGCTGTGGACAACGCATGTTATACAAATACGCTAGCCCACTCGTACACCCCGCCCAATATTCGGGACAACTTGTAAATAATCGTTATCTATACGGTCCATTGAAATGTTTGCGTCATTTCAAATGAATGATTGAGTGACCGCCTCTCCCCCCCCCCTAAATAATAACTTGGGGGAGAGGGATAGGAAGTTCGTTGCCTCTCCTCCAGTGCCAATATGCACACACACAAAAGACTGCGGCTACCTCTTAATGAGTTTAGAAAATCAGTCTATGGATCAGATATGTCCAAGATGGATACATGACTTGTGATAAAAAAAAAAAATTAACAAAAATTATTTAACAAATACACTTTGAAAAATACATTGAGCTAGTATTTTAACAAGTTATTCAAGTGTTAATTTTAGCGACGGAAATGTTGCGGATTTACGCAATAGGTCAAATCAGCAACCCAGAGCATCTTTCCTTACATAATGACGGTGACATAATTTGGTAAACTGCATTAATAAGTAACTTGATCGGCTTCTAAAAAGACATTATATATAATTTCGAAAAAAAAGTATTTCATCTAAATAAGTTTTTTAAATATATTGTTAAAATACGTATTTTGAGACATACAAATAACACTAAAGACAACGGAATATATAAAATTACTAGGTGAACTCAAGTTCCTGTGAAATTAGCATCCTAAATAATTATTTATATATATTAAATAGTGGAGGTAAGTACTTCGGTAATTATATTTGTAATTATACAACACATTTGATCTTAAGTCCTATTTTATTTTTTTCTCTATTCCTTACACACAACGTTTCAGCTCTTTAGGCCATTTTGAAGAAAAGAAACGTTCTAAAAAACAAAAATGTGATAGCCTTATTACGGTAACATATTAATTACTTTTATAATCTATTAGCTATTTACATAATTTACTTTATAAAATAAAAATTAAATCATTTGGGGTAATTTTCCCATGTAACATTCTTTTATTTGATACAGAACCTCTCCTCATAAGATTATGTTTATTAACACATTTTCCATTGTAAATTTAGTCATTTAAAAAATATGTTTTAAAATACATAATTAAATTATTTTTATTACGCGTTATACAAATTAGATAACAACAATAATATAAATATTAAATTTTACTAACAAACACATTACACTCAATTATATTTTTTATTTCTATTTCCTAATTTTATTGTAACAGAATAATAAAAAAACTCAATTAAACAATGTTTATATATCCAAAAACCGTGAAAATTAATCATCTTTGTTTTTTATAATATTAAAAAATTAATTTTACTTAATATGTCAGTGTAATATTGACTTAATTGCTTTGAATCAGCTTTGAAATTTACAGTATAATTTATATTTTGAGTGATATATATTGCATTTAAAATTTGTCTATGTATATATTCTTTTCGTTTTGTAGAATTTGTATGTTTTCAAAACAACAACTATGTTCACAATTAGAAGCATTTTGTTCAAATGCTGTTTTTAAAGGTTCTTTTATCATTTTTATCTTGGGATATTCTTTCATTTAAATACTGTTTTATTTTTCTATGTATATTGCCATCAATTTTTACATAGTACCTTAGATATTAATGTTGATTGATAATTACTTTCTATCTTGTCTTTGAGATTACTATAATAATTTAAAATTTTATTCTTTGGTTTAAAAATTAATGAATATTCAGCCACTATATAATCTTTAAAAACTTAAGTATTTATTCTGATATTTTTTTAGTATTTTATTATTACGCAAAAAAGAAGATATCGCAAGTATGTTTTCAAAATCACAACTATAATTATTTTTTTAAAAATACATACTTAAATCTACAAATACCAATGATCATTTATATCAATCAAAAGCACGATGTATATGAGATATCTCGAAACCTTGTTCGGCCCACCCATCTATCTTCTCGACTCCAGATGATAAGTTAAACCGAAATCGAAATATCAGTCTAATTCAAGATGGAATTAAATCAAAAGTTAAAAAAAAAAACGGTATGGGGACGAGATAAATCGCAAGGTAAAGGTTTTTGGCCCGAAGCGGACGTTGCAACCCATCTTGGCAAACCTCAATGAAAATCTTCTGCCCATGTTTACTTGAAGCTAATTCGTTTCGGCTGGTTCGCCTTGTTTATCCCACATCCCATCCCGGACCGAAATACACTGTTCTAAAGTTTTTATATTAGGAGTGATTAATTTTTAATGGAGGAAGAGAAAGAAAAAAACAAGGGAAAATATTGCTATCGATATCTCATCAAGCCATCCTAAAGGTTATAACAAAGAGCTGATTAACAGGAATAGACGTGAAAAAAAATCTGGTGCGGTGCACGCATCACACAACTTTCACATACCACCCTCTTCTTAGCAGAAATAACTATTTTCAGACAAAGGAGAAGTAAAAGTTAAAATTATATTTATATATACAAATTTCGATTTTCATATCGCTGTAATCTATACCATCAAATAATAAATAATACCAACGATGGAATTTATGAAAACTGCATATGTATAATCATCAGAAAAAAAATATTAGTTGGAATCCGTGATCCACTGTTTGTATGTGCACACTGTTCCATTTTTTTTTTTTTTTTTTTTTTTTGGTCCTTCCCTTCCTCGCCGTTAAGGCTATACGGGATTTTCCCGGGCCAGGGAGTGTGGGCGGGGATTTAAAAGACTCCCCCGGCACCGGGACGCGAACTCGTGACTATTTTTATATCTTTGTATTCATATGTCAGGTTGCCAGGCAACGGCGGTGCAGTGCACACGCTTTAGCCTATTCGGCTACCCCGCCCACTCACTGTTCCATTTAAGGTAATTCATCAAAGTACTTGGTGATTTAATTTAATGAAACGTTACTTAATGATGTTTTGCAACGAATTCACGATATATTTCCTAAATATATTATTTGATCTGAAATATAATAAATAGAGGAGAGGTTGCTGTGGCCAAAGAGAACAAGACAGTGGTGGCATAAAGATCTGGCTAGCCAGCCAGCAACGGTA